AAAAAGGAATTAGTTCTTCAATTTTAAAATAAAACATTTTAATTATTATATGGATGATAAATAAACGGTAACTTTATGTGTGAGTTAACGTTACTAGTGGAGGACAATAGAATGGGCATGAAATCAGATCCACTATCACATTGTGACCAATTCACCGTGAATTAACCGCGATGCTTTCTTAGAAAACCTTAGGGTTCACCTGACATGGTCGTAGCACTAGAATCAATCCGATTCCGCTCAGTTAACTTATATTTAAACACTTTGGTGGGTGTTTCCTTCAAACTTAATCAGACGAAACATCTACAAAAATTTTAAACTATAATAGCATAACAGGTAAAAATTTCCTATTCTGTATAATAATATCCTATTTTTTTGATTTTGCAGGAATATTACGAGGAATTTAAATATAGTATTTTTATTGTATGTAGACAATAATAGAACTTGCGATTAACTTATTCATAACATAAATTGCTAACATTGAATTCCCACGTAAACATTCACAATCAGGTATTTATAACAATCATCTTCATAGGTACCTGAAATAAAACTCGATAAATACACGTATATCAACCGCACATAAATATTCATAGATTAATACTACATAATGGAGGATATTGCAATAAGTAGAATAATTTAGGTTCTGATTGTAATTTGCCTTAGGCTCTGGCTGTCAGGAAAACACTGCAATTGTGGTTGTTGAAGGAAGCGTTTAGAAACTAGAAATATGAAGTACATTAGTGTTTATCTCTACACACTAACAGCAATATATTATTGTAATTATATGTTATTAATTAGATATGCGGAAATCAATTTATACCGAGCAATATTATTATTATTATATAAGACAGAAGCACAGATAATATAATAGACAGAAGTGACTTTAATAACTTTGTTATTAAATTAGATATTTACATTATTGTAGTAGGTAACTACATCTGATAGTTTAGGATGATCAATTTGATGTAACAATATTTATTCTTGTAAATATAATTGTTAACACTAATACTTATAAAATTTCTCACATTTTCCTTATTTGAACAAGCCACCATCATCGCCTGTTAAAAAGAAAATAATTAGTATATTACATATCATACGATACACTATATACATATAAATGGAAGTACTCGTAGGTATATCCACACGCATTGATGATATATTGTTGCTTTTAACTGAATTTCTTAGTGCTTTGTGATTAAATAAAGAGAGAACTTTTACGAATTAACACCAAAATAGATTTTATTTCAGTTTTATTTTCTTATAGCACATTTTATGAAATCAGAAAGGAGTGACCGTAGTGATTTTAGATCTGGTTTGTATTTTTTATACCCCATTGCTATACTCGTGTATCGCGTCATAATCTCAGTGGGACCCTAATGTGCTAGAAATTTCTCAATAACTTATCACGTAACACCGCAACTATTACAAGATATTATGTAGAATATATCAGTAACTTTTTTAATAAACCACAAGAATTAATGGGACGGTACGCAACTGTAAGACGTATTTCATTCTGTCCCACTTGTTTATATGGGTAATTTAGAATAACGATATTACCAAAAACGTCTGAATAGAACATTAGAAATAATTTCATAATATTTCTGAGTCATTTTTATGGTCCTCATAACTGTCCACGCTTATAAATTTACTACTACTTCTAAGTATAAAGTTGTGTGACAATGACCCAACTAGTAATTGACGTTCTACCGATAGAAACCGTACATAAATAAAAAAATAGGTAAATTACGTTTGTTTGCTTTTAATAATTCTCAATTCTATAAAACCTGTTTCTTCTGTGTGTACAATTTTTTTTGCAGACTGTTAAGTCTGCTCCTGTATTATATATCTGTTATGATAACTCTATAATAAAATTATATATAATATTAAATCTAACGTAACAAATATAATACCAAATAAGTAAATATGTATGTATGGTAAATTTCATTCATAAAAGTCATACAAACTATTAACTATTACTATCTTTAACGTAAACATTTTATAACTAGGTATATACACACGTATATTATATACACGTCTATTTATACTGTTTAAAAATGTATAGGTCGTTGAATCCTCTCAGTAAAGTCCTCAAATTTTTACGGCAAAGTTCCTGGTGAAAGTTATTCATCGGCCCATGAGTGCGTGTGGGTCACAATATATAAACCATTATGCAAGAATCACCACCATATAAAGTAATATGACAATAAGAATATTAACGAGCTACTATCATTTTTCTCGTGTAAATACCATGACCGACATGTTGACTCTTTTGCATTATAACTAAAAGGTATATGCTTGGGGTTATCAAATGATATTTTGTTATAAAGAACGTAATAAAATACACATCTCAATGTAAAAATATAAACATTGCATCTTGTATACAAGATGTTGTCTTTAAAGTCAATAGATTTTCAGCAAATTATTTAGCTATACCTATACCACAATGCAAAGCGATATACGTGATTTCTCTTTGCTAATTCCTGACAACTTTGTTTCTTAATGTTTAATTATAAGAAAAATTGGAAGATTACTCAACCATTAAACTGTGAATGTAACTTATTATTTTGATAATAATAAAGTATTTGGATACTTCACTGGATATATTAGGTTATTTTACTTTACTGGTTTATATTTATGTACCTACATACTTTATAATTACCATGGTTGCTTTTTTAAGTAGTAAATCCTAACAATTCAAATTAAGACAGTTTTTTTTTAATGCAGACAACGCATATAATGGTGAGCCCATAAATAGTTTCTTTTTAAATTGCTGTAATGAGCTCAATTGCAAATCAACTGAAATAAATGCAAATCGCAGAATAAGTTGTCTCCGCCTATCCAGTAAGTTATAACATGTTTGTAAATAAATAAATATTATTTACCAAATAGAACGAATAAAAAAATATTGAATGGTTAGAAAAATAAAGCAAATCGTTATGGTAATTCGAGATTGCAGACCGCAAAATGTCCAGTAAGTATTTACTTGTGACATGTGAGGTGATGCAATAAAAACGTTTTCTCTGCACTTGAGTTACCTGATGTTATGGAAAAGTACTCACTTAGTTATGCATCGATCCGTTGACTAACAGTAACAAGAGACATATAGAATCAATGATATCACTAAAGAAAGTTATTAAAGACAAAATCTCATTGTTAATGTAAATATTATGAAGAGGTAATGTTTATGAGTCTGTAAGGGGTAATCTCTGGATCAACTGAACCGATTTTTATTTTTTCTGAAAATTATTGTAGTGTTACATAGCTCATTTGACGAGAAATGTTATAGACTATATAACATATCGTTGGGATCAATAGCAGCCGAACTGCAATGAAAAATGTTGCAATAAAGTGGGAAAATACAACGCAGATATAGTTGTTGTGGTCTGAATAGTGTGATATGAGTACTTAAACTGAGTTAACTTGTAGGGTACGGATACATTACAGTTTAGTCCTTAAGAATAACATCGTACTATCATAGCCATTAGTATGTATATGTCACGGATTTGATACTATTCATGTATATAATAATATGGTAGATGCGAAATATTAGATATCTATTAAATACTGTATGATCTATATTGACATTATTATTTTGCTCAATTATATAAAAAATACTAATATTTCAAAAGCGCTCTAAGAGTATTTCAATTGTTATTTCTTAATCTATTGTACTTGCGTACAATCAAGTTTCTGACAACTTGCCAAATTTGCGGTATATTACAGTGATATTTTGACACATTCCCTTTCATCATCTTAATTCAATCAGCACACAAGATAATTTAATGGTCAATTTAAAAGTTGTATTATAATCCATAGCCTAGTGATATGAAAAAAACTGTAAAATATAAGAATTCAGTCGCACAAAATTCAGTCATTTTTTAATAATAATAATAATAACCCTGATAAATCCACACAGCTCCATCTAGTCCCAAGCTAAGCAGAGCTAGTGTTTTTGGTACTATACAACTGACACAAGTACTTAAACACATTTTTTAGTACATATATAATATACATAGAAAACACCAATATAGACAATCACTCATGAATACAAATGTTTGTACATTGCGAGGAATTGAACCTGCGACGATCAGAAGTAAACAGGTGTGATAAACCGCTAGGTCACCGAAACCGATTTAAAATGTCCTTCTCCAAGTCTGACAATACTGTGTTCCCACTCGTATGTTATCTTTCCTATAATATATGTTATATGGGTACTTGTTGCACTAAAGATTTCACTTACTACATATAACCTAATCTATTTGTTTTGATTACAAATTAAACCGCATCTTTGCATAGTGTTTCGTTCACACGTTTCTATCCTTACATATATAAAGCAGGAAATATTATGTATTACGAGCTTTATGCGGTAGCGAAACAACTCTAAGGACACTGTTCTACGTCACTGTACTTATAAATCATGTCTTTATTACACCATACATACTCTTACTACCGTAGTGTCATGTCAAGTTTGACGCCTACATTTCGATTTAATTTATACGATTATAGAAACAATAGATGCATGAATAATTTATAAATAACAAAACGCAACTTAAGATATGTTACAGCGTTAAGCTAAATGTATGTATATGAAATTACATATTCCATTTGAGGTCAGCTTAGATTTGTTTATTTTACTTAGGTTGTTTTTGACATAATTAACTATATTGTCATCAATAAATTTCTTAATAATATTATAATAACTCAGGACAATTCACACAGCGTCATCTAGTCCCAATCTTATGATCCCTTGTGTTATGGGTACTAGCCAACTAATAGAATACTTAAATCTGTTTTTTTTTTTCATAGATACGTACAAATGTTTATACTGTATGAGGAATCGAACCCGCGACTATTGGAAACAATGTGCTGAACCGCCAGACCACCGAAATAAAAGTATTCTCTCTCACTAGCGTACTGCAAATACTCGCTGGGACTAGCACGTAGCCTCTAAAGTACATATATTTAAGAATTATATATTGACATGCTTCTTTATTTTGTTACAGATGACATAGATCTATCCGCAGAATCTTCAGAAATCATATCAGAAGCAGTGCCCGCGCCGTCATCTCTACATGAGACGGCTCAACTACCTGCTGTAAACACTGAGCAGACAGATCATTCCATCGAGCTCGTTGGCGACTCACAGAATTTCTTCCCATCGTTCGCTAACCTCTTTGAGTCCCGACCGCGGAGTAACTTCGGGCTTGGCTTCGGCAATGAAGGAGCTTATAGTCAAAGGCCTAATTCATATAGATCTCTCCTGAATTATCCACTCTTTGGCAACTATAGAAATGTTGATAATTTCGGAAAACAAAATACGGCTTCCGCAGCTCCGCTCGTCGATGCCAGTTCCAGTGTCCTAGGTTCCGGTAATTTCGGAATAATTAAAGGTGGCACATTCTTCGCTCAAAATGATGACGAATCGGAGTACAGTGACGGATTCAGCTCATTTTATAATAACGGTCATGGTAGGCCATCTATAGGCGTCGGCTACATTGCCAACCCTCGCCCGAATTACAATCAAGATCAGTTCGCTAACTTTAGAGATTTTGCCGATATCAATACACCGTCAAACTCTGCTTACTCGCATTATGTTGTAGTGTATGCAAATAAGAATGCCACAATGGATGAAATTTCAGAAGAAACACGAAGAGTGATATCAGAACCGAAGAACATCATTGAAACTTTACAGCGTTTAGACGACACGACAACTCCTAAACCAAAAATATCTAAAGCGAAAGCAAAGTTGGAGATCACAAAGCAAAAGATGCTAAACAAGAAAACCCAGTGGAAGAAGAAAAACTCGAAATATAACCAAAAGCACGATCCGGAAGAGCCATTATTAGCGTTAAGTTAAAGCTTGTGCTAGTAGTAGTTGAAATACAGAGACTTGCGTAATGTAAGTGATATTACCAGTAGACAGTGTTGTGACGTGCATCGGCACTGGAAAAGGCGTGACAAAAAGTTCACTGTCTAAATTTAATTTTATATAAGTGCTCGTATATGTTAGAATTGTGCAACTGATCGGAGTGTATGAAAGGAGAATAAATGTATATACTGTGTTTGATTGTTAATGGTGGATAATAAATTAATGTTATAAGTGTATTTGAGTTTTTTATTTAGCCTCTTAGTTAAATATCTATAATTTTATATAATAATATCTAATAACCCCGAGACTATCCACACGTTGGCGCTGTGTTAGTCTCAAGAGCTATATGTTACGGGTTCTAAACAAGTGATATTAAAACTAAAATACTCATCATACTCATGAATACTTGTACTGCGCGAGGAACAAAAGACAACATTCAAAGAAAGCCGCTATAGGTACCAGGCCAATATACCTGTCAATAGTCTTCACTAGTAGTCGATAATGATATTCTGTTGTTGATTTTTACACTTGCTGTATTACGCGACGCTAATTGCATAGAATACCGCCTATGTCCCTTAATGACTATTTATATTATTCATTACTATTAATAAAAACTGGCTATAGACTTCTCATTACATATGTATGTACCTACATCCAAAAAAGACAATTCATTCATTTTTCCAGTAATAGTATTATTACAAACAAATGGGTATCCACTTTATACCCACTTGTTTGTAATAATACTCTACTTATAGTATATTTTCAAATAGCGTAAATTAATACGAGTGTATTTATGAAATGACACTAATTAGGTACACAATATGCTCTAAAACCGTGCAGCATTAAACCAGGGCGAAAAAGGAGATATTTACTTTTCTAAACCATTACACAACAAAAGCCTGCCAACGTAGATTCTTGAACTATTAGATTCATCCACAAAATTTACTCAGACAATTACGACTCCTCTAGGTCTTTAAAGCTAGGAAATACAGGCAGGTTAAGAATGATCACCAAGGATGCCAATATCGTAAGATTACATCAAAATCTCGTATATTAGGTACCTCAATTTGTTTAATTTTTTAACGAAAAAATCTCGTACAAAATTGTACGAGGATATAAATATCATCTTACCGAATGTCAAAAATCTCGTATTTTTATGAGAATACTTCTACGGTTGGCATTGCTACCACCAAATGGTAATAATCAGGTCTGCGCGTAACCATTCCATATATATATTTTTTTATGATAATGAAATGGTGCACTCGCCCGCCCTAACGGTTTACGCTGGGGAGTTTTTTATTTACCAGTGGAGGTTCATAAGATTAACATGAGGTCAGGTCAGCTAACCCATCGTGACAAATTCACTAGGAATCATCACAATGGTTTCCAGGGGGAACCGCGTGGAGGTCAACATGACATAGTACATTGCTATTATAGGGTCATGAGTCCACGTTACTAACAATCCCCTTACCCCTATATTTTTAATTTGTTACATGGTTTTATTAAGTACATGACTTACAATTAATTACATACGTTAACAAATAATTGATTGTTAAGGTGTACCTTAATACACCTTAACAAATCGATTATTTGTTGGGGTGTGCGAGATACTTTGTGTAATGAAAATAAAATCTTGTCACAGTAAGCTTAAAATTTAAATACGATTTAGAAGAGTACCTACAAGTAAACTGTACACCGTTAGAAAGACAAATATTATACATCACATATATACGATGTACGGTACAAGGAATCGAATCCACAACTATCGGAAGTTAGTTAGTTAGTAGTTGATCGGTAGTTGAAATCAGATTATTCGTTTGAATGATGTTAAGACAGTAATAGATCCTAGAATTTGTATTCACAATATATTATAGGTATAGGTATATTTACAAATAAAAAAAAATATAAGTAAAAATATAAGAAGTAGTGTAAATTGTCCAGGAATTATTATTATCATAAATTCAAGCTCATAATATTTATTTCACAGTAAAATTTTAAAATGCTAAAATGTCACTTGTTTCCAATAGACACATACCTATTTCAATGCAGCGCTAGAACTTGCCCCCATACTACAGAACTAGAAACGAGCAAATGATTTAATGGCAGGTACCTATACCTAAATACTGCAATTAAATAAATCATTTGATTGGATACATAAATTATTTTAATATAATAGTAAAATCATTAAAAATTAAAAATAGATTAAAAATTAGATTTTTCTGTCCCTTATGTGGCCCTCTGGATGGAGTGATGGACCGCGGCTGTATGTGTTCGGGATTCATATTTATTTTTGAATTAATAATTCCGCAATACCAGTTTCCAACCATTATTCTTTACTTACCCCATTAAGTAACAGTTTATTTTAGGGATCGACAAATATCAATGTTTTCATATTAACATCAAGTTAATTCTTCGATTACATTGACAAAAAAAAATTCCTGGAAGAAGGATTGGAAGCAGAAAGATGGTATAAGTCAAATAGGTCGTGGTGGGGAATAATTTAAAAAAAAAGAAAATTCAGTACCCTACATGATAATTAAAATTAAATAAAAATTATGTAAGCCAAAGAAAACACCGAATGTTTTGAGACATTAATATTTTTCATTTGATAGTTTGTCGCACATTGATAATGATAATATACTTTATTTAAATGATTTATGCGGGCCAGTCCTGGTGGCATTGCAATGCCAGGTCGTGGGAGTAGAACGAAATTTATTTTTGAATGTTGAAGGCAGGGTCGGTGAATAGCTTTCAGATATTAACGCGATAAGAACAGATATCATACTTTGACCTAAGGTAAACGGCCAAGAAGCGATAACGTTAATTTGAATATGAAGAAAAATCTAAATAAAGCTTTGAAACATTATCCTAGCGCCATCTACTGAAGATGTATGAAAAGTATACTCATCACAAATAAAAAAAGACGCATTCAGGTGACTGATGAAGTCTATGGTACATGAGTACATCGCCATTGTAATTTAATTTCGAGTAAATTTAGACTAAGCGAGATGTTATAAATAAATTATCTACATTATATAGAATTACATTTTGCTGACGATTTAGTTTTAGTATAATTTTATTAAAGTTGGCAACACAAATTTAATACAGTCTGTTCTTTAATAATAATTCATATTGTAGTTAGAATACAATAGAATTACAATAGAATTATGTACACCTACTGCCAAACATGCTACTTTTAATAAGTATGAAACTTAAATAAATTATTAATAAATAGAGAAAGGAATATGAAATAAGTAAAAAATATAAGTACTATAAAAATATTACTAAATTTGTTTTTATGTACTCATACTTTTTTCTTCGAAATTATTTGCAATTTTGCAGTCCTAAAACTATGGAATTCTTGTTTTTATGCAACAGTTTTATATTCTGTACATTAGTTGTATAAGTGAAATAATTCTCTTTTTAGTTATACACGAACATTATGTGAAAAGGACAGAATCTTTAATAATTATATCTCATTCATTTCTTTATTTTCCCATAACTTATATTTAACTATAACTATATACATGTTGCAAATAAAGTATATTCTATCTATCTATCTATCTTTATACATAGACATAGACATAGACGACGTTCCAGTTACGTAGTAAATAAATATTGTCTATTACCAATACCTATTTTTGAATATGATTATCTGTGGAGAAAATCATAGAGTAATGCATTGTACATTTTTTAATAAAATTAAAATGGTACTATCTTTCCAGACGGGAATAAACTTCTATATTTAACGTATTTTTCCATTTTTCTTAATTAATTCTGTAATAATATAGGAAATTTTAACAGGTGCTAATGTCGGGATTAACTTGAGACTGGTGTTAATAAACTTTAATCCCATATTATTGTGTAAATAAATATTTTTGTGGCCATCATGTTCTCAGGCAAGGATGCCGCAAACCCTGCGTATCCTACGCAATGGGCCTTAAATCCAAATGCTTATCAAAATGTAGACTCTAGTCAGGTGGATTGGGCCGCTCTTGCTCAACAATGGATCGCCATGAAAGAGGCTGCGGCTATCGTAACAGCGCCCCCGGCGTCATCGATGAAGGCCGACACGGAAGAAGGCGAAGCCCCAATGGAAGTAGAAAATTCTGATGGTAATCCGGATGGCCCTATTCCACCTGGCGCGGAGTGGGATGCGGCGACTAATACATGGACAAATAATTGGAACCAATGGGGTGAGCTATGATCAGTGAACCACCATATGATTTAAAATTATTCCTCTAACCAAATAAAATTTCGTATTGTATTCTAATATTTATAAAATTTATGGAACACCTTTATTTTCTCCATCAATGTCATAAATGTATATACATGTGCGCATACTAGTGTAGTGTCTAGTTTAGTGTGTAAATGTACCTAATCTATAATTTATTTAATGTAATTGGAATGTCTAACAAGTTGATATCCCACTGGATAGTAAGTGTCAACAATTGCCTATATACATGAACCACCACTATAGACAATACAAACTACTAAGATGTAATTCTACTCAAAGCCTTGTTACTTAATTATTGGTACAGTCGCTGAACAGTATTAGAGAAAATGGAGCTATTAAAAAAATTAATTGGTGTTCATAAAACTAGCTAGTAATAAAAAGGTAAAATTTGTGTACCTCCTTAAAGGAAAAATAAGAATTAAGTGTTTAGAGTACATTCACTTTATCATTAACAGGCTGGGGATGGTCTGCATCTGGAGCAGTGGACCCTAAAATGGACCCTTCCATGGCTATGACACCTCTCATGGATAGTTATGTGCCACCCGATGGAAGTGCTGCTATGTCAGGGTGAGAATATAGTTATATCTATTAGGTTGTTTGGAAAGTAATTTCGTTTTTTCCTGACTGAGGATTTAATTGTAAAATTCAAAATTCAAAAATCATTTATTCATGTAGGACATTTTAGCCGCTTATGAACGTCAAATTTTTACATTCTATTTTTTTTTCCCTACCATCCAGGTATTTTTTGAATTTTTTGCACTCAACTTCACACACTTAAGTCATATAATTTTTATATGTTTTGAGAGTGCATATAGCAAGGCTTGTGTGTGAATAATTCCAATTAATTCTGTGCAGTAGGTTTTCGTTGGCACCCTTTTAAATATGGAGAGCTATAAGCAGCATTTTCGACATATCTTACTGTTTTACTACAGAAAGGGCAAAAATCCTGTTCAAGCCAGAAAGAAATTGACCGGTGTGTGTGGAGAAGGTTTGTAACCAGAACTGGATTGCTAAATTTCAATCTGTCAATTAATCTGAATTTCGATCCGCAACCATGATGCCGGTTGAAACTGATATATGCATTGGTTGATGCGAACCAAATAACAACATGTGAAAGGTTACATTTATCGTGCCTTTATCAGTTTCAACCGGCATCATGATTGCGGATCGAAATTCAGCAAACCTGTTCTGGCACTGGCGTACTGTTAACACACCTTCTCCACATACATCGGTCAATTTCGTTCTGATTGAATAGCATTTTTGCTCTTTCTATAGTAAAACAGTAAGATATGTCTAAAATGCTGCTTATGGCTTTTAAAAGGGCACCAACCAAAAACTGCTGCATAGAATTAATTGGAATTTTCCACACACAAGCCTTGCTATATCAGCTCTCAAAGGATATAATAATTATATGGCTTAAGTGTGAAGTTGAGTGCAAAAAATACAATTAAATCCTCAGTCAGGAAAAAACGAAATTACTTTCCAAACAATCAAAAAGTTTCATTGTAAATTTAAGGTAAATGTAACTTTTAAATCTTCATAACATTTATATAGTTATATCTGCATCTTTTGTCAATATCCTGTTATAATTATATACTTAATAAATATAATTAATATAATATAAGTTATATATTTTTTGTATATAAAATTATTGAATTCTGCAAATTGATATAAATTCCACAAATAATCAATATCAATGATATTAGTCTACAAACAAATAATACTTTAATATCATACTTCTTGCTAATATTATAAATGTGAAAGTATTTGTGGATTGCTGTTATGTATGTATGTTGCTATTCCATGCAAACACTACAGAACAGATTTTGATGAAACATAACAATAATAAAGTTTATACTTGAGAATAATACATTGGCTATAATTTAAAAAGATACTATGCCAATTGGCCGAAATATAATGGCAAATAAGTGTAATATAGACAGTTGTACAGGTAAGCTAGTATCATATATATTTTCTATCTGGAATTGTTTATTATAATTGTATATTGTTACTTTTTCAGGTACACATCTAATGCTGTACCTGCGCCAACGTTCCAGCATGGATACTGGACTGCGCCGCAGGTAGAGTCCAGTGGTAGTAGAGGCAGCAGCCGCAGTAGAGATAGAAGATCCAAGAGCAAAAACCGAGAGCACAAATCAACAAGAAGTTCACGAACTCCAAGGTATATAGCTTCTCTGAAGATAGTTTTACTTGATATCCATTTTTAAGAATAATCATAGCAATGATTTTTAGTTATCCAAATTGTTGTGTAGAAATACTTTTGTTTCATTTCCCCAAAAATAAGACCGATTATACTTGTCTACTCTTTATTTCATAAAGGAAAATATTTATAACACATTCATCATTATTGTTATTTCAAAATAACTTTAAACAAAAGTATTTAGAACAGTCTTTAAACACAATTGAAAAAAGAGTTAGATTAGGTCTTTGTGATCTAGCTCAATGGTTTTCTCTAGCATTTGAACATGGAAATGTTGCTAGTTGTTTGGAAAATTTTGGACTGTATATGAGAAAAATCCATTTTGATTAAGTATTATCTTGTCTGTAAATAATAAGTGTTGTTATTATTTACATAATTTAATTTCATAAGATTAATATTGCTGTAGATTTGACTTGTCATAAGTATCTGTAATTAGACTGATGAATACAGTAGTTTGATTTGATTTGTTGATAATTAAAATTTGTTAAGTAAATACTTTTTTGGCCTATGGTGTTATATACACCATGGTGTGTGTGTATGTGATATATTGTACTTGAGGGTATTTGGATAATATCTAGTTTGGTTTATGTCAAATGAGGAAAACAGTGTCCTCTAATATATTACGTATATATAACAGGTTAGATGACAATAATCTTCATTCTAATATCTGGGCAATCACAGTCTACCTATCTCATAAATAATTGTAACTGTGATAAGTGTTATCAGATAATTTTGAAACCTCATTAAATCTTCCTAATAACCATTGAACTATATTTTAATTTCACAGGGAAAAGGCGCCGGTAATAATGCCAGTGATAGAACCTGTAGTTGTTCCGACAACAATGCCAACATCCACCATCGATGCAGCTAAACGGAGGCAATTGCCTGCCTGGATTAGAGAAGGTATATAAGTCAGAGTCTCTGTGGTGTATCGGTTTACCAAACTGCCATATTTCCCATGGTCACAGATTCAATTCTTAACACAATACAAACATTTGTATTCATGAGTGTTTGAATTTGTCTGGGTGTTTTCTATATAAGTTATGTATGTATGTATTCACAAAAAGAACTATGTATTCATATCAGTTGTCTAGTACCCTTATTCTATACAAGCACTGTATTTTGTCCTGACATATTTTTTCGACAGCTTGAACTAACCCCTAGTGATATTCTCAGACTAGTCATATTAGGTAGTAAGGAGGTGGCCCTTAGTTGTTCCATAAGTCACCAATAATTTCCCGGATAATAAATAGCAATAGTCCCAATTACTAACAATCATCTTCCTAAACTCCTTCAGTACCATAAGAATATGAAAAAAGTATTGATTGAATTATTCATTTCATTTGAAGGTCTCGAAAAAATGGAGCGAGAAAAACAAAAGGTTATAGAAAGAGAGCAGGAGAAACTGGCACGGGAGGAAGCGGAAAAGCAGAAAAAGAAACTAGAAGAAGAAGAATTAGAGAGAATTAAATTGGAAGGGAGTGGACAACCCTTACCTCCGCCGAAGAGTAAATTTGTAAGTCTAAATTTGAATCATGTTCATTATTATTTTGCTAATTCTATTATTTGTCTTACTACTTTTGCTAGAATATTAAATTTATTTCATTAATAATTTGCTTTTTTTTTAACTTTTACCTTTGTCCGCGTGGAATTAAACTTTTTTAAATTAAACTTTATAAAATAAAATAGTCTCAGTTACTTCTTACAACATCTAGTAGCTATCTGCGAGTCCCGTCAAAATTAGTCCCGTTGTTTCAAATATTAGAGAGACAGACAGACATACTGAAATAGGAAGATAGTGGTATGAATCATCTTAAATTAAAATTTTACCATTTAATCTTTTTATTGTACAGGATACAGATTCTGATGGTGAAGAATCAGAAAAAGATGTAAAACCTTTACCGACTCCAGCAGAGCCTGATGAAGTAGAGGATCTGAAAGAAGCAAGTATAGAACGAGAGCAGCCTTCACTAATCAAGAGGAGTAAAGAGGAGATCATGCAGGATGTGGTAATAAAAGCTTGTTTAAAGAATAGATTAATCTAAACGGTCCGCCTGTTAAGCATATGAAATCTGTACCAGAACTTATCTATTGAAGTAATTTTAACTTGAATTTGTAATTCTTTCTTTAGAATAACTATATTATTAATTTCATGTCCCTAACACCTCTAACACCTCTCCTTAAGGGATGTCCTTGTAGTAGTAGTAATGAGGACATTACTACTACTACAAGAACATGTTTTTCTCACAGATTTCATATGCTTAATGGGACACGCCCTTTAATAAGGGGCCATCAAATTCAATTTCAAAATATCTTTATTCATGTAAGTCTATTATATACTCATGATATGTTAAATCTAACGTCAGTTCGGAATGATTTCGAGATAAGAAGTTCTCAAGCGGAGCGGTCAAAAATTCATAACATTCATTAAACGTAATTTATGGAAATTGAAAATCTCATCAAATATAATATGACTAAGATATCGCACACCTGTGTGTGTGACATTTTAGTCATCATCATCTTAGCCAGTGATTTTGTATAGACATTATCTAACTGGCAGACTTTTTCATTAATATATTGCCTGGTCTGTTCATTTCATAGCAAAAGTGAACACTTGCAAAAAATGTATTAATCAATTTAGTTAGGATCCATAAAAGTTTAAAGGCTGTCTGTTACATAGTGTCTATACAAAATCAATGACGTGTGTATGTGTGACATCTTAGTCATTTTTGAAATTTCTTGAAAAGGTCGGTGCTAGCACCGAAACATTCAAGACGTTTTAATAATATTAACCCTGATGAGGTTTTCAATAGTCGACTTATACGTAGAAATGAATGACATTTCGTGTCAGCGGAGTCTGTTTTTTTGGTGTCGGTCAGATTCGATCTTACGACGTTTGGGCTAGTAAATCATCAGGCCGCAAGTATATCTTTAGACGTGTATTAACAAATAATATAACTATTTATTTATCAGATGTTGGCGGTTCGTCGGTCACTTACAGAAATCCTGCTTGAGGTGACAGACCATGAGATTCATATGGTGAGCCAGGAAGAAATGGCCCGGTATACCGCCGCACAAGGTATTTTCACTCATATAGGCTTATACCAAACGGCCCGACGCTCTATGCCAAGACATTACTCTATAGAACGAGAAACATTTGTGTATTGACTGATACTGTGATCTTACACTGTGATATTTTTTTTGTCTCGTATTGAGTCTATTTATTGTGAACTTGAAGAAATGTGTTGTGCCAAGTTGTGTCTTATTTCATCGCTAATAAAGTCTTATTTCAGATGTTGCCAGTTGTATGAATACATGTGGTGTGTGTGATTAATGTTGGTTTTATTTATATGGTAAAAGCATCGCGCCTCAACGCCATGAGGGCAAGCAAGTCCAAGGCACTCGCCGCTATCGCCAGTGGGCTCGGTAAGTTGCCTTCCTAAAGTTAGACATACGGAAATGTCTCGCAAACTATCCAAATACTATGCTTTATATAAATAGGAATATAATTCTGCTGTAATAATTATTTATTTATTTTAATAATTAATTTTACACGGAAATTGTTAATCATAATATAGAAAGGTGTTTACAACGAAATAATGTAACTGTCAAAATGTTTGCCAGATCGTTCCATTTAAACGTCAATGGCGGTTTTATTTGTTTTTATCATATTTACCAGTAGTTTCCAGTTAATACAATGCTAATGTAATTTGCTACAATAAAACCGCTGCTGCACGTTCAATAGATTTCCATTTCAGCCACGTCGCGTCAGATTATCATATTGTAGTGACTAATTTGGCAATACACATATAAATCGTCAATGTTTCGCGTCATTGTGTTTAGTGGATGAATTGGTAAGAAAATACAGATTTCTTTAAATGTTATTGATAAATAAATATTATGTACATATACATATCTATATTTTTTGTGTATGAGTGATTATATCTCGCTCTGGATTGACATAACTTACCATTACCATCGTTTTAATGATGCGCAAATTCTTTACTGTATGTAGCTTAAGATTATTTGCGCAGAAATTCGACACACTATCTAAGTTAGGTTATATACAGTTTCTTCATACCCAGGACATTAAATTACTTTTTAGTTATAAGTACCCCAGTTCACAACTGAGTACTAATAATATTTTTTTGTTAATAAACAAATTGGAAAAAAACTAACACTAAATTTAAAGCGAAGCTTTTCACGTTTCAGTAGTGAAAATCACACCCAAATGGAATAAGCCATTTTTTATATAAAAAATGGCTATTCTAGTTTCATTTCCATTATTGATAGTCTTGGTGGACTTTATCAATAATGAAACTGATTCAAAATATCAAGAATTATAATATTCTCATATCATGTATCATGCACAAATAGCGATCAAGATTTGTATTTATATACCTAGTAAGTTTTAGGTTACAAGAGTTGCCGAAAAGTGTTATCTAGTGAATATTATTAAAGAGTTTTGAGTTATTTTTTATACTATCTATCATAATATTATAACATGACAATGTACTATATGTACATTTAATAAGGCAGTATTTATTCAAACAATTTGTATGTCAGTAGGTTAATTGATGTTTTTCATACTTTGTTATTGAAACTTATTTAACATACAGTAAGTTTAAAACTTGTGCCTATAGGCAGTGGAAGTTTCGAGGTCGTTCTCCCTTTAAGTAGCACGTTGATATTATACCAACGGAAATGGAGGCCTCAAATTCAAACTATTAAAACTGTTTTAATTTGATATTTCCGTTTTCGCACATTATTTTGCACATACATGGTATCCTTAACAATTTTGGGCCCAAACGTCTTTACATGATTCTGGGCCCATAATGTGATGCCTACATTGTCTATGAATCTATATCTGGATAGATGAAATGCTCAGTAGCAAGTCTTTCGTGCATGAATCGTGTTTAAATCACTTAAGTATTAACATATTCAATGTTGTCAATATTTTGTTATATTAATGGTAAGTTAGGTCATTCCTGCAGTCCTAATATGTAACAACATAGTGTTATTGTTAGCGTTATCTGTGCAGGGCTGGGCGCGTACGAGAGCAGCAGCGAGGGCAGCGGCGATGAAGAAGAACGGAATGATTTGACTGATCAGCAATTGCAGGTAAACTGATGGGCATATATTTCTTTATATTTATTTTGACTATACTAGTATCCCTATCCAATTATTTTGGACGAAATTTATAGTTAAGTCGTAGGATAATAAGATAAGTATCTTACGATAATATGAACTTCCTACGATCCCAACTTTCCAGAGATCATATTAATATATACATGAAATATAATACTATCAATTTCTCTGTACATATTGTAAAAGAAATAGTTAGTCGGGAGGTAGAATCTATTTAAAGTAGTTGTGGTATTATATCATATGTGTTGCCATTTCTGAGGATTACGGCATTTCAGTTTCATTGCTTATACATCATATAAACCTGTATATAGCTTACAAAACTTAAATTTGAAACATCTGTTAAATCATATTAGGCAAATAATATATTTGGAATACTTAATTGACAAACGTGTATGGCAATAGTTGTTCATGCACGAAATTTTAATTTGATGTTAAACATAGACACCTATATAAGTATACAATGTAATAAAATGACTTAAAAAAAAAAAGAAATTCAGTTGAGGTTCTTGCCAGTTCTTCTCGAGTGATTGATATATACTGAACTGGACGATAGGGAAAATATATTAATACAAAAAATTTACATTCATAAGCGGCTAAAATGTTCTATATACATGAACAAATTATTTTTGATTTGAAAACAAAATGATTACGATATTTTCCAATAGAAATAGGCTAACAGACGACCTTGTTTAAAGTCTACATCAGTAATAGAATCGTATAACAAAAAACAAAGAATATAAGACAATAACCTCTCAATTGTTGACGACATTGAAAATATAGTTTCTTGACGTTTGTCTAAAATCAACTTAAGACTAATGGTTTAAAAGCCTTGCTTGTAAAGTAATGCTTACAACACAACAAGTGAAATTCTGAATGTAACCTTTTCATAATGCGTAGTATGATTTCTTTAAATTTTTACAAACCTATGTTAACATTTATCTGCTACAGTGTTTTATTATTTTATTTGAATTAAAGAAAATGTTTTGAAAGAAAACACAAGGGCAATAAGTAAAATACGTTTATTAGGAGGTTGACGTTTTTATGAATGTGATTAATTTTAAATGAATAATATTTTTTTCATATTCGTTTTCCCATAGCATGTTAGTAATAGATTTAAAATTTAAAGTTAGTAGAGTACAAATGTAAACCACCCAATTCATATATCAGTGCCCCTCTTCCCGATGCACTTGACTCGTAACCGTGTATGTGATAATGTCCGTGTAGTGTTTGAACCGACATTACTGTTGTAATATTTAGGCTATTGACGTTCCCTCGATACCTGCGTATTAGTGACGCAGGTCTTTTGCACATCCTTTTTTATGTAATGTGTTTTTGGAATGATAAATGAGTTTACGACCATCTGATGGTAAGATCACTATGTAACCGTGATGTGATGCTCGTTTATTTACACAGGAAATAATAAAACGCAAGAGACAAGAGTTCGAGCGAACATCGCGGGAGATCGAGGCAGAGGTGCGGCGAGCGGAACAGCGAGAAGTCGAGGAACCATCTACGCCTGGCGGCGTCACGCCAGATAGGCCGAAGCAATTGCGTAAGTTAACATCTTAATGTATATTCTACCCTACCTAATGGTGGAGGGATTTTGGTCAAATTTTGGGTGCACGATACCATGGATTTTTGAATGATTTGAAAACACAATTGGACCTGGTTTACCGGACAGAACAACGACGCCGTATTATCTCAATAGGGTAAACATTCGTGTAATTTTATTGCTACACGCCAGTCACACAATACAATTATTTAGATCTATGTATTCAGTTACATATTATTTATCTAAATTACAATATAAGTTATTACGATTACAGGTTCATCAGCAACTCCTCCACCTATTGATAGCGAGACTCCAGAAAAGATTGTAGAACGTCGTTCTTCTAAAGATAAACGCAATAATAACAAATCAAATGACAGAGTTGATGGTATCAAGAAATTAGAAAGTATACCAGAGGAGAAACCAAAGAAATCAAATAAAAAAGACTATACACCTAGCCCTCAGAAGAGTATTAATAAAACGAACAATAAAAACAGTTCTGCATCGTCTAGTGATTCAGAAGAAGATTCTTCTTCTAGCTCTAAAAATTCCTCGTCAGAGAGTGAACCTGATATAAAGTCTGTGAGTAAACACTCTAAAAAACGAAAACATAGATCTAGTTCTAGTGATTCTGTAAAGAAATCAAAGAAAGAAAAACAAAAGAAAGACAAGGTTTATAAGTCTGAAGATAGGAACTCTTATTCAAAGTCAAAACATCAGGATGACTATGAGAAATCAAAGAAAAAGAAGGACGATTATTATGATAGGCATAAATCGTCAAAGAGTAGGGATTATGAAAGGTCCCACAAAGATAAATATAGGGATGAGTCAGATGAAGAACGACCCAGGAAGCGAACGAAGAGATCTCGATCCACCAGCTACGATTCGCGGTTAGGCCGAAGGAGGAGTTCGCGCGACCGATCTGAGGAGCGTTCACGAAGAAGGGAGAAGAGGTCATACGATAGGGATAGCTCGAAACGGGACAGGTCTTATGAAAGGTCGAGTCGTGACTACAAATACGATAGGTATGAGCGGTCTAGGGAGCACGACCGGCGGCGTTCGCGCAGCGGCAGCCACTCGCGACACCGCCGATGAACATCAGGTTACAAATACTACAGGTTGTATATTTACTTATTTTCAAAAGATTGGACCTTACCTTTGTTAAACTATGTAAAATTTTCACGTACATAAAGTCTAAAAATATTTCAAAAATGTGACAAAACAGTTTATCTGCTACATTGAAACTCGACCTTTGATTCGTAATTTATTTTATTTTCACGATTCATTCAGATGCCAACGAATAACTTAATTTTAGTTTTTTTTTTTAAACAATATGGTTTGTGTTTTTAAACATGTTTTGTGAAATATAGTATACACTGTCTATTGACGTACAAAGAATAAAAAATGTACATATTGCGAATATGTAGATAGGAATTATTTTCATTATTTTTGTGTACAATACACAAAAATAATGAAAATAATTCCTATTTCCTAGGAAACTTGGTACTTTATCTACCACTAACCTTGGTTAATAATATACTAAAACTTTTGGTATTAGGACATTTGAATAAAGTTTTAACATATTTCCTAGAATTGTTAATAGATTGAGCCATTATAAGGTGTTATGTTCCAACACAAAATTTAATATTTCTACGTAATCTTCAATATATCAAGTAGTATTACGATGACTAATTGAACAAATTTGAGATTCTGACATGTGAAGATTGTGATATATTTTTATATTTTTTTTCTTACAGGTTGGGCGGTTATGCTTGCTTCGCGTGTATATATTCAAGTATTTGTGTATAGTATTTTAGTGAGCACATTATTTCATGCATTACCTATTCCAATAAAGGTTATTACACATAATTTTAAATAGTTTCATTTGCATCTTGTATTGCAACCAAATTAAAAGATATAAAGGACTAACGAAGTAGATGTATCCAAATTAACCTTGTCAATTCACAGGCAACAGAATTCTCTGTATCCTGTTAGTATTGAAAGGTGTTATGAGCAAAAAAAAACTGGTCGCACAATGCTATTTTATATTAATAATAATAATTGCGTCGCAAAAAAACAATAATATTGATTCTCTATTGTCGTTGAGGATGCAGTGCAGTAGCCAGTACCCACTATGTTTAATGATTAATTTTACTTAAGTAACAAGAACAAAAATAATAAAGTAAAGTTTACTAATATGTGTGAAATTAAAAGAAATTTTACTATAAGTGTATAAGATATCTATATATATGATATCACAAATTTGGCGCTGAAAACAATCCATGTAAAATAAAATGTCAATTTGTATCTAAAAGCTTTTATTTACATAATAGGTATTTAATAAATTATACAACTTAATGAACTATGCTAGTAACTAATAATGGCTACCAGGTAGTCAATAATTTCCATATATTTGGGCACAGTATTTTTTTTATTACAATTTTACTGTAAATAAAATTGTTTTTCATAACATATAATTAAATTATACATCCTGTTAATAAATTATATTATTAATAAATTAATTTTACTGCAACTACCAAAAACATTAAAAAATAAATTGTATATAAAAGCATAGTAGAAGGTCACAGCCTGTACCATACCTTTAATGGAAATAATCTTTTATACACCTCATACTTAAGAGTAGTCACTGTATAAATAATAATAAATCATAATTTAAGTAACAAACATGGAGGCTATAAATATTCCCAAATATTCAGTGAATCCTTAACAAATTGAATGAATTTGTAACAAAATTTTATTATAGAAATATAGAGGAAATTTTTAACACACTGTTATAAATTTCGTTAATTCCATTTCGGAATTAATGTTATTATAAATATTTTATTGGGTTGCTCAGCACCACTGTTCACAATAGTAAAATATATTTAGGCCTATTCTATAGTATTTACACAAACACCATGTTCATTCATTTACCAAACCTGTGATCAAATTTATTGTATTTAAACAATGCCCCTACATAGCTGTCAATAGTTATGTTATGATCTAAAGAAAGTTGAATAAATTCAGATAATCTTATTTGCCATGGCAATAGACCTTTTGTACAGCATAATGATCCACAGAATAAAATTAAGTCTGGATCTGGAATGGAAGGGTAATATAATGCTAAAGTATTTCCTAGTTCTTGTGCAGTATATTCACTAGATTCTCTATTACAATGAACTTCTTCTTTTGCTATGCCCTTTATACATCGTGCTATGGTTTGTCGTCCATCCGAATTTGAAAATATATTTATCACCACTGTGTGTCCTTGGACTCCATTGGTGTAGCCATTTAAATCTGGCATTTTGGGCCATTTAATGAATCCTGGAATACCCTTTTTTCTCCTTTCCACTTCATAAAATAATTTCTCTTCATTCTGCTTTAGTTCACCTAAAATAATAAATTATAAAAATAAAATGTTAGTAAAGGACATGATGATTGACTGATGACATAGCTTTGTCTAACCTTTCTCCTATCTCTAATCGAAAGTGAGATTTAAATAATACATTACATGAATAGTGTATTTGTATTTCTAGTATATATACATTATTTTATATTCACATAAAAAAACATTAAGTATTTAAAATAAATATTAGTAATACTAGCAGAACAAGATAGTAGTATATTATCTCAATAAAAAATGATTGTATTAAAAAGAAATTTATTATCAAAATCATTTAACAAAGTTAGCTAGGTTACTTTAGCATGGTGCTCGAGTTTTGAATGTTTATTGCAGTAGATTTTATTGACTCCTGTTATATATTTATGGAGTAATAATAAAAGGGTCTGTCTCTTACTCCATCAACTTTTATAATTACATTCAATATACAGGTTGTAACTGTAAAAATATTTTTAATGACAAAATATATAACAAATAACATCAGATATATAACAAATAACAAATTAGAATGCGTAAATATATAGCGTTGAAGTACCTGTGACATCATGAAAGCTGAAGTAGGGTATTCCAGCTACGAGACTCCAAATAACCACTCGAGCTAGGTCTCCAAGCGAATGATGTTCAGTGTCTGCTAAAATCACTATATGATTTAGCTTCTTATTCATCTTTGGCATAACATTCCGAATAATATTAATATCTTTTTTTGTCACCTCGCCTTTATATAAATTGCACTTCTTAATCCAAAATTGATGATAAACATTTTGAACAGCAACAAGTACATTTACAATTAAATGTACGATTTTAAACAAAAACTGCCGAAGCAACCGAGATAGCATGATCGGTTTGTAGTGGATGATACGTTAATAACGATGTTTAATCATTATTAATTTAATATATAATTTTTTTGTTACAACGAAAATATACTGATATCAAATATACTTGAAGTCAATGAGTACAACATGAGAGTCAGCCGCTTTTTACACAACCAATCACGAGCTCGCGGGTGTAATCATAGCATAGGGTTTTTGATGTCTATGATCACTTACCTCTATATAGAATAGAATATACTCTATGAGAAACAACTACAAATGTTAAGTATAGTTTACACCATTGAATTTATGTAATTGACTCAGTGATTCTTCTAGTTCCGTTAAAAAAACTCTTTTGATTCTCTATGATAATTTCGTAAATATCCGTTTCCGTTAAAACGCCATTGTTTCTTTCTCTTGTCAGAATCGCCTGATAAGGTTAGTAATAATGAAATTCTTAGTTTTCTAATAAATAAATATCAATTCTTCTAAAATTTAGTCTTTTAAAAAATTATTTTTGATATGATACGTATACAAAGAAGAAAAAAAAATGTCAATAAAAACTAAGAGTACTCAACTTAGATATTTCTGTTGTGACCACGCCGCATATTTCTTTTTCCAGAACCCTCAAAATGCAGCTGCACATTAGAGGACAATCAACGCACGTATTGGATGTCAATGGAGAGGAATCCATTGCCCAAATTAAGGTAAATAAGTGTTAAAAATATATAAATTGCCATTGTGACAGTGTAATACTTCAATGAAGCATAGCATGCCTGAAGCTCTCAGGTTTTGAGGTTAGTATTGTAATTATTATTAAATTATTTCAGCAACTGTAAACTTGCTACTATAATAGATTTAACTACTATTATAGTAAATTATTTATACAATTGTAAATTTGCTACTTATAATAGATAATAGATTTTTAACAACTATATTATGTCGCCAATTCGATGTCTACGTCATATTATTTGATTATGTTAACTATTACAATTTCTTATGAAATATTCAAACCCTGAAATATTAAATAAGCTCATTTTAGTTATTAATTTTATTACATTTTATGAAAGAAAAGTATAAGTCATTTCAATTAGAGATTTTAGATTATTGTAAATAAACGTAATATTAAAATTTACATTAATTAAGAATGTTACATCCGGATTTGTTCCTGTGCTTAAATCAATATTAACATATTTGGGCAGCTAATCCTTTATTTAAAAACTTCACTTTCCTATAATATTGTTGACATGTCAGTAATTGTGAAGTTTCAATTTAAAGTTAAGATAATATTATGACAAAATAGAACATTTCCCCTGTACTTGTATAGATATAATTTGTATTTAAATTTTTATTATTTACAAAAGAACTTATTTTCACTAGTTTACTGTTTATTACATGAAAACAATTTCGTAACAAATAAACATTTATTTTTTATTTACATAGAATAGCATTGAGTTCATAGTTAGATTCTTAAATAAATAAATCATTTTTATTACATACTAGCAACTCCCATGCATGTTTTAAGAATTTCTTGCCTTTTCTGTACTATAATATTGGTGCATTATACATAGAAACCTTTGTTGTGAATCACTAGCTGTTGTTAAAAACTGCATTAAAATCTCAGGCTAGTATAAAGATTTGCAGATAGCCTCTGACAGCTGATCCATAGGAATTCAATTTGCTACATAGCACATCATATTGGAGTGATGTTTAAAGATAAACACAGAAAAGAAAAAAATAATTTGCTTTGTGATTTTTATAAAAAGTATATAGGGCATTGATATAAACTTGATTTAAAAATTACAGGATAGGCTTCGGGCCTTAGCAGAGGTTGGTGCAGAGGAGCTCACATTATCAGCATGTGGAGCCCCTCTTGAAGACTCATGCCTCGTGTCAGAGCTTGTCTCCACAGAACTTGACCTCACAATTCCACTGCTTGGTGGTAAAGTGCACGGTTCTTTAGCTCGTGCCGGTGAGTAACTGATTACATATATGGTTTTTAATATAATCATGGGAAATAGTTGTTCCCATTGTTAAGTGTCATGTCAGATCGACTTTCACACTGTCCATCCTACTAGAAACCATTGTGGTTTATTCCTAGTAATGATTTTGCCACATAGCTCATTTTGCCTATTTCATTTAAATTATTTTTGTTATTTCAGTGCAAAAAATCAATTATAAGCCATTAAAAATATTTGATAACTAGCTGTACACGCAACTTCGTTTGCCTGGAATTTAACTTTATTTTTCTAAAATAAAATTTGCCTATGTTGCTCCTTATTACATCAGCTACCTGCCAAAAAGTCCCATCAAAATCTGTTCAGCCATTTAAGAGATTAGCCGGAATTATTGTCTGCCTGTCTGTCTGTTTGACAGACAATAATTGTAAAAAATGTAATTTTGGTGTATGTACCGTATTTATTTCATATATTCATATGCATGTAGTAAAAAACGGTTATTTCAATATTACAAACAGACACTCCAATTTTATTTATATGGAATGTAATATTATTATATCTAATGTAAATATGTAATTTATGTTTAATGTAATTGCAAACTAAAAAGACTTATGGGTACTGCAACATAGAAAAGACAATACATTTAATAATATTTAATCATACTCATGAATACAAATTTTAATGGTGTAAGAGAATCCAACCTGTGGAAGTAACTTGCTAAACCGCTTGACTACAGAATTTGTTGTGAAAAAGAGAAATTATCATATGTAAAACATCTTTAATTGTTATTAAGTTTATTGTCATAAATATATTAACTTATATATTATATGTCTGAAACAATTACAAATATCCATTCATACATCCACACTTACAAACTCCCATGTTTATAATATTAGTAAGATAATGTCTGTTAAAAAACCTATTTTGATATAATGTAATATTTATGGATACCTATACTTTATAATTTTTTCTGTTAATGCATTTTAAATAAACACTCACACATTATTTCTGAGTAACCTACAAAAATGGTTAATTAATTAATATTGACTTTAATCTGAAGATCTAAAAACAATAATATTTTCTATCTTAATTCTAGGCAAAGTCAAGGGCCAGACACCAAAAGTAGAAAAGCAGCAGAAGAAGAAGAAGAAGACTGGCCGTGCCAAGCGAAGAATTCAATATAACAGAAGGTAATACTAAATATAAATTAAATTATAATTAATAGATGAACCCCACCTTTCTTTCAGGAGAATAATCATTTATAGCTTTTTGTAAATTGATAGTTTTAAAGCAAACATTAAATTTTTAAGTAAATCTTACATTTATACAATACTTTAGTAAAACTCACATCTTGATTGGTCAAACCTTTAAAATTATATGCACTGTCTGTTCCTCAATATATAAAAACTCTAGCATTATTTTAAGTTCCATTACTTCAGTAAAGTGTCCCTATAATAGATCTTTTCAAATAGTCAGCCGATCTGTTACATTTTTATTATAGAAAGGAAATGTCATAGTACTACAATCTATACAAGATTTTTCATGTTAGAGTTATAGCTATAGCATTCAAGATTGGAAATCAAACCTATAATAAATCACTATTAATAATCATAATGTAGGACAATTTACACAATGCTATCCCATTCTAATTTACGAAGAGCTTGTAGTATTGGTACTAAACAACTGATATAAATACTGCAATACATTTTTTTTAATTCATACATAGAATACACGCAGACTATTATTACAAACAATCATACTTTATCTATGGCACTCAAATCGAAGCTGCACCTATCGGTAGTCGCTAAACTATAAATGACAATGTATAGTGCAATAACTGTGTTACAGTTCATGTCTATAGGTCAGTCTAACTTGTTTAACATTTGGTTAAAAATGCATCAATATTACCTATTTCTACCACCAAGCATCTTGCATTTTAGGTTTATTTTGTTGAAGACAATGTATGTTGTATAAGTAATTGCAGTATTTATTATATCTTTGTCCTACCGAATGGCCACACATGGTTGTGTTTATGGGCGACGCGAAATAACGTGGCGTCCGTGATGCTTTTCATGTATGTAGGAACCAACCCACCAGATAAAAGATCCTATGATCTTTTATCTGGTGGGTCACCAGCTTGTTTTCCTTCCAACCATACAAAAGTATATTTGTTACTTGATAATATATCTTATTATCTCTATTATATATCTCAATTCATATTTCTACCATCATGTCTAAATAATTATTATAATAAGTTTAATAGTACTTTTGGATAGTATTATATTTTATGATTTTATACCCATATTGTCATTTTGTTTCAGATTCGTGAATGTTGTCCAAACATTCGGCCGCCGTCGTGGACCCAACTCCAACTCGTAGGTTTTATTTTTTGTAAATAAAATGCAAATATAACATCTTTGCACCACACTAGTATTTTATTTGTATTTAAAAATAATTATAACATATAACATAGAAAAAAAACATCAAAAACGGGGTCAGGAGGTTGTTAGAAGTGAAACATGCACCTGATGACTACTGATGACCTGAATTTACCACGATGGGTTAACTGACCTGACCTCATGCTCATCATCTTCTCCATTGGTGCCCCGCCATATACCGTTAACGCGACTTATTATATTTTTTCTTATGTTGTTAATGGAATGGTGCACCATATACTCATTACATATATTTATATATATTGCTGTAAAATATAGTGTGTATAGGTATATATATATATATATTGAGGTACATATTTCATTTCATATGTACAGCCACAGAGCAGCTTGTTAGAAGCTGTTCGGTTGAAAGTAATATCGACTACCATATAGACGTAATATTGCGAGATAAGGAGGCACGACACATTGTCCTGTGGAAAGGCAATACAAATGAAGTAAGGAGAAGCATCGCCTAAAGACGTGATGGTCGTAGTGCTGTTACGCAACCGTTGCCATTCTAGATATAAAAAAAAACATGCATGAGTAGCTAGTGTAGCTACCTAATATAAAGTACCACATATAAACTATTATATAAATAATGAAAATGCAAATTAGTCAACAAATGTATTATATTTATTACAACTTTATGAGTAACAACCTCAAATGAAGCACTCAAAATATATTACGTACGACCGCACTGCGACATAGCTAGTTTATATACCTACTAAAATAGGTGAAATCAGCTTTACATAGGTTTCTAAAATTTAATTTCATCTAACATTGTTTAATCATGTAAATTCAATATAAAATAACATAAAGCTGACTGTACCTACCTAGGTATCAAAAGTTATATAGATGTATGTGTGCGAATTCCAAAATAATTAAGATAATAAATAGGAGTTATCTTAAAATATAGTCTACCACTTTGTACACTTATGAAAACATTATTTTCAACATTAATATAGGTATTACCTACTATGATTATGTCCTTCGAGGCTATGGTTTTTAAGTCTCAGTAAGTATGAGTATTTAAACATTCAGCTATTTACGACACGACTTGGAACACTTACCTACCTACAGTAGTGTTACCGTTAAATTTATTTTCACCATGTCGTAAGCGACTCAAAAAATCTCAGGAAGATCCGATTTTCTCTGATTTGTGTTTTTTTATTTATCATATTTATAAGCATTCTATTAGACCAATGTTTACTCGTTAAATTATAAAATAATAAAATTACGTGTTATCCATCCCAAACATCAGGGGATCTAAAAGTCCCAAATCGTGACGTTCGAAAAATTCTATTGTTTCAAAGTCTTATGAATAACTTTGAGTAAATACGGAAAGCATGTCTTGTATACTTACATGTCATGTCTTGTATATATATACTTTCCATATTTTAATGAAAGCTATTCATAACAATAATTTAAAAAATATAGTAGGTTGGTACCTACCTAATAATTTTTCCATCATTGCAATTTGATTCAAATATTCACTTTCGTATAACGGTACTGACTTACTTTTTAATAATTAGCATAGAAAAGTTTAAATTTTATGAAAATATTACGTACTCGTAATAGATATAGTTGAGTTTTGTTTTATGCAGCTACTCGTCTTGTAGATGCGCACACGTCTAAAATTATGCATTACTTGCATATCCATGTGTATCTATATTTTACCTGTATTACATATAGATAGGTGACCAACCAAAGAGCGCTTTTTATTACCTATATAACAGATAAAGAGCGTTTTATAATTTACCGGTAGGAAAAATCGGTTGGTTTTGTTATATTTAATTTTCTGTTCTGTAATAGTTATAATTATGGCAGTGTGGCATCCACAGGTTAGACTGACATATTTTAAAACGTAAAAAAATCATAGTCACCATTTACAAACAAAAATTTATGTTCCCAGTGTAATAAGTACAGAAAAATTATAACAACCATCAATAAATCTATATCAACAGTAAGGTAAGGAATAAATTCTGACTATATTTTATGAATATACTTTATTACTTATAAAATTTATAAATGAAACAACCACATAAATATGAACAGATTTGTTAATTGTTTTATGCATTTAGGAACAACAGTATAAGTAACTTTAATAAAGCGACGCGTTAACGCCTCATATTATATGCCGATGTAAGATATGAAGGCAGGTTATTTAAATAAAATTGAATGAAAAAAACACATGAATTAACTAAGTTGATATAAATAATAATAATATGAAATTTAATTTTCATTATGTACTAATTTATTAAATTATTTTGTAGTAAGGTAAACTATAAATCATTCCTTTCAAATAAACCGACATTGAACTTGTATAAACTGATTAAACTAGCCTAGTGTCAAAAAAATTGTGGGTAGGTAAGCTTAGTACCCAATACTATATCTACACCTACACTATACCTACAAATTTATTGTATTTGTGACGTTGATATAGAAATACTTAATGGAATATTTATTATAAAAATCAATGACTATGATTTCTTATTACAAATGTTTTTAGCCTAAAAGACCACAGCCACATTTTACACTTATTTCTAATTGTATGTATCTAACTCACACAGCGGCAATTATAACTACTAAGTCATTGGAGACTTAGGATTGCTTATGGATTACGTTATTTAATGTTTATAAAATTACAATATTAACAATTTTAAATTATATAAGTAATATATAATTTTATATAAGTATCACTTTATACATTAAGGCACAAACAATTTTACAAACGTATTCTTGCATACCAATGCATTACCTTACTATCCTACATTATGTACTAAATAATTAAATATATTAAGTCTTAAATAAGTCTGACCCTTGATTTCCATTACATATCTATATACCTATGTACATATGTATAATATATTGAAATATCCAATAAATAATAGTATATGGATTATAAATTGTAGATACCTAAATAAAATTGACAATAAACGTAAAATGAAAAATATGGAAAAGAATGTCTTTTCTGTTATGGTTATATTGGTCAGACTCATTATGCAATGCTTTGAAAGTTAGGCATCTTAAACTCAGTAAAATAAAAATCTAAATTAAAGTACATTTTGGTTTCAGATCATCTTACATGTCGGGTCCTAACTTCGACAAAACTGCAACACTAATATAATTTATTTTCGAGTCTTTGTACTTTTAACGACTAAACCTATTTTAAATGCAATTCTAACGACTTAACTGAGCCACGAAGCAAACTACCATCTGCAGTTTTGCCAAAGATAAACTGATGGGAATGTTTCGCTATTTCGGAATTTAGAATAGTTTATTAGCTTACAGGGTGTTACAGCTCATTTTAGCTAATCAGATCTTATTTTAATTAATATGATTTTGTACACTAAGTACTAGAAATAGAGAGCAATCTAATCAGCTTGCTCTTGATTCCATTGGTTGTTGAAAGTGGTAACTTTAGTCAATATATACCGTAATTTACGACATGGCCACTTGTATGAAATTTAAGCTATTCCGATATAAATACTATATATACCACTTATACAAAGTGTATTCAACTGAAAGTTTAAAAACGATGCAGTATTTAGCTAGTCAGATAAATATAGTTGCAATTCCGCCAGCAGATATAGCAATAAAAATTCATCCACTTTTGGCATCAGGCCACTCTTTCTACCTAATAATCAGATCTTATAGATTAACATGTTATTCGAATATATTTAATACCACACAATACGGGTAAACAATTACAAAAAAGGTACTTATTATGTTTATCTAACTACCGTGGAATTCAATGGCTGGCATTCAAAGTTTAAACAGTATATATAGTTACTGTTACATTATTCTCAATTCTTAATGTAGACATACAATCAATATGACTTCGAATCCCAGCCAGTGACCTAGTACTGTCCCTAGTACTACTTATGGATTGATTACACCTATTTGATTGGGATTATTTTGGCACCTGTTCTTAAACAAGAAAACAGTAGACACTGTTTTACTACGATCCTATGTTCTGTCGTGAACAATCAGACCTTGTGCGATGCACCGAGTTTGTTTCTTGTCTTCTCCCACCTACTGATCCTGTCGATTGGGTAGCACATCACAGCAGAGAAGAGCAGGAAAGCGCCAGACACAGCAAATGTGACGTGGTAATTCTTGTCCGTTTGGTCCATTATAAAACCTGATAGAAAAATGCAATACGTACTTAGTTTTCAAAAACTTTTGCTATTTCACTCTTTACTAAATTTAGATTCGACGATTTGGTTCGATTTCCACTTACATAAGCACAAAGAAGGATCCAGGATCTATCTACACTAAACTAATTAGAAAAATATATTGGGGCGGATAGCGAAAATTATTTCTTCGCTTAAACTTATGCCTGCGATACTGGCCAGGTGTTATATTAATATCTTTCTTTCTTTTGTCCTAATACCTATATCTGTTCTATTATGTAATCTCTAATGACATACTAAGGATGATTGATTACGCATTGTACTCTTATTTAATATTTAGATATGCATTCACTTTAGTAGACCCAATAACTCTCTGTCAACGGTAATCAGTGACTGCATTTTTTAGTATTGAATATTTAAAACATGCAAATCACCCAAACTTCCCCTACGTAAGTAATAATGATAACGTCGATTTTCGACGTCATCATTGAACAATGATGCGGGCAATCATACGAAGGTAAGTGTTTGGCACTGTGCCTGCTCTACTGACGGAGGACACCGATAACCGGGCGCCAACTATTATGCAAGTGACTTTTTACATGTAATTAAATGATACATTTGTAACATAAGGGTAAATTAAAATTACATATGGCGCGATTAAATCACGAAACCCCCAATTCTATACCTGGCAGTTCTGTTGCTACATTTTTATAGAAAATTAAATATATATTCCTAAGTCAGTTCGATTAGTTTCATATCCACTTCTTACTAAAATTCATATTTATTTATTACATATTTAATATTACAACTTACCGGCAATAGGTGCGCCTAAAAGAGCTCCGAAACCTTGGAAAAGAAGAAACAGGCCAAAGCAGTTCGTTAATTGTTCAAGTCCAATGTATTCTACGACCAGTATTGAACGGAGGGATGCGAAGCAAGCTGTAAGAGAGGATAATTTTACTAATCTAATTATTGTTAATCGCGTCTATGTACAATATGTATTTATAAAATGCGATTTATCTCAATAAATAAACTTATAGGCATACAGATATACTAACCGACGGCAAGTCCAAAAACGATGCAGTAACCAAATTGATAGACGTCGTGATAGCAAAGTCCGCTTATTATAGTCGCTATTCCGCCAGCGGAAAGAGCAATATTATTGAGCCAAAGTGGAGACACTTTTGGCATCGAGGATACTAGACCGCATAACACACGGCCAACGATATTTGCCACGCCAATCGTAGACACCAACCAGGTACAAGCCAACTCACTTGCGTTATTGTCCTGCGCTCTCTTTTTTGCATAGACATAAGGTACAAAGAATCCCAACATAGTGAAGAATCCGCTTAAAGCGAGTATCACAAATGTAGGCGAACGGAACAGACTAACATCCAACATCGTCGCTAAAGCGCGTTTAATAGCTTCAGGGCAGACTTTGCATTTGCTTGAAGTTTCCTCTCGCGTATCCTCTTTCGTTGGAACATGAGTTACAGCTAAATGATATCCAAGAGATGTCCGTGATGTATATTGAGGTAGTCTTGTTAGACTAGCGCCGAAGAAAATGTCATCACGGTATAAAGGTCTAGCTACTAAGTCGGCGTGAGAACGGCGGGGATTTGGTACTGGTAGGGGTTTAACTTTAATAGTTGAGCCAATGAGGGGTGCTGTGTTATCGATATTACTATTAGAATCTTCTTGTTCGTCTTTCTCAGCAACTGACACGTCTATGAACATCGGTTTATTTGCAATGTTGTTTTTAATAGCGCTTGCATTTGCTGACGATCGCCTGGAATGGCTTAGGTGTGAATTGCTGCCACGGAATATTTCTTCTGCAGTTGGATAACGAGTATTATTTGCCACACCCATCCATGTATGAGGATTTATTTTATTAGTGAATCTCATTTCAGGTGGCATTGAAATTCCAGAATCAAGTTTGCCATGGAGTTTGAGCATAGAATTCAGTTTTTCAACAGCTTCTTCATGACGGCGTGCAACATCTTCTTCGTCTTGTTGATCAGCAAGGGTGACACGTAGTGGCTTGATTGGTCTGAATATGGCGCCGAAGATTATGCAGAACAGCAACAGACCTAAAAATTAAAATTATACATTTAAAACAGATATATTTAAATATATTATAGGAATAAATATACCAACATAGTTATTGCAATTCACAAAAGGTGAATGTGAAGAATGTTGCAAAAACACAGTACATGGTAGTCTAAATAGGTTTAAATATCCAATAAAATACGCTATAGTATAAAAAAAATCTGAAACCCAGTCCTAACACCTGAGGAAGAAGAGGAATTTTAGTAGTGTGATATATTGGCCCCATTACTAGCATGCTATACACTGGTAAAGTTACCCCCACAGCGTAGACTATGTGAGTACTGACTGTTAATCAATAGTCGAGTGATTGTATGATGATACACAAAAAAATAACTGTAAAAGCTTGGAATAAATTAAATTCATACCTGCATGGATAACTATCGTCATCTTCCAACCGAGACTACTATTAAGAGATGCTGTGAGAGGTGCCATAATAAAAGTTCCCACTCCAGAGCCACACAGCGCCAGTCCTGTGGCCAATGCTCTCCATTTCTCGAAGTAAAATCCAACAGTCAAAACGGCGGGCATGTAAATCATGCATAAGCCAATTCCTGAAAAGTTATTATATAAATTATTAAGTCTTCTAATACGAGAGATAGAGATTGGAGAGTGACTCAATGTCTTAGCTAGCCTGCCTACTACCAGATTAAAGTCAAACGTAGCCAAACATTTATACATTAATAAAACCGAAGGTTTTATAGCTACATAGGTAATTAGTTATCAATTCGTTTCCTACAAGGAGGAAATACATGAACTACATGTGATAAAAACATTTGTATTCGTCTGTTTTAGCTATGTAAAATGTGAGTTATCAAATTTTTACATATTGGCAGACATTGTTATTGTAAATGTTACAACTATTTATAGGTACTTCCTTTTATTACTGCTAAAACAGGAAAATGGTCTTTATTTAGGGACTGCTTAATAATAAAAGCACATAATTATGTTTATTATCTATGTCTAAAAAGTACATGACATGAATGGTAAATTAGCGTCGATTCACCTTACAAAATGGTAATCGTCTGTAACATAATAGATATAAACAATGATAGCATTGTCCATGGGGACATCATAGATATACTCTGACCTCTATGACAACCTTTATCTACCTATATTATGATATGCAACACGTGGTTAACTAAAAAAATATAGATAGGTACTTCTCGTATACTATAGTAACATTAGCACTAAACATTAAGAAATTTACTCGCTAATTTATCATGAAATCTCCAGTTTCATATAAACCTTATATTTACACATTTATGTGATAAATATCCACTGCATAAAATTTTGTTGTGGAATTACGTGTGTGAGTGTATAATCTTCAGAAAAAGATAGTATAAAATATTCAGTTTAAGTTGCACTGTTTCTCATATCTGCTTGTAAACTTTATTTTCATGAACGTACGGCTTGTTTTTGTTAAATATGTTTTTAGTTCCGTTTATGTGTAGAAATTATGTTTTGCATATGCAGTAATTGTGTGGAAAGTAGCAGCTATCGCTATTGTTGTTTGTCAAAATTTTTTATTAGACTATAATATTCGACATTCAAAAATATTATAAAATTCTTAATAATACAAAATACAATATAATAGAATGAGACCAGCGTCAGTCAGCGTTGTGTCAGCAACAATCGTCTTTAGACTTAAAAAAACGTCAGTAAGTCAAAATAGTTTGGGCTTTATAGGGCACGGGTTGCATGGAATGGCATAGTTTATTAGCAAGTTTAAAGCAACACTCCATCTAATTATAATGTAATTTAATTAAAACCAACCTCCAACGATTCCATAGACGAAGTACAAGTATTCTATGCTATTTGCATAATATACTAGTGCAAACGCAGAACTCGATATCAAACTGCCCACAATTGTCACCACGCGGAATCCATACCTAAAAGGAATATTACTTTTCAAACCAACAGACAACTTAAATATATATCTATTCGAGTTCACATCTCTTTCTCATCAACTCAATTTTCAAGTCGTTTGGAATAATTTTTATTTTTAAATTTGGCTTTTAAATTAACAAATTATTAACCAATGCTAATTATTAAAATGTTAATAAAAAAGTTGTAGTGTTTTACGATGTATACCTACAAGAATAAGTAAGTATAGAACCTGTACACCCTAGTCATATTTCCAATATGTATAATAGTATACCTAATACAAATTAGGTATGCGATTCCTTTATCCGTGACATAGCTACCTACCACATTTACCAGTCGAATTAATATTAAATGACATCTTACTTGTTAGCTAAAGCCGATACGAAGGGCCCTGCTAGCAGATAGAATCCTGCCAATAAGGAGTTCACGAGCGCCACCTGTGATTCGCTGATCTGTAACAATATAATAATACAGGTAAATAAAAAGCTAATATACCATTTACAATGAGAAATACTGGCAGTTTCAATTACAGATTAACCGGATATAGTTTCTTCATCGTCAAAGTAGAAGTGTTTCTTTTACTACTATTGTTTTTGTACACATAGCATCATCAATTTCCTGTAATACTGCCTAAACTGCAACCTACAATAGAAATACTGTTTGCAAAGCAAGCTGCTTGGTGATCATACGATATCGTACCGATATGGGTACTCTATGATGAATACTGTAAAAACAGGTTAAATCTACGGATTCCTAGCAACTCATTAGATACACTTTTACTTGGCCTCTAATTGTCAATTTTAATTAACTTAATGTTATCAGAACACACCTGTCACATGTCTTTATCAAGGCCAGTAGGTGAACGAAAGCACCGGTCTACGGAAATATTTGTCTGGACGGCGGAAATACAAATTGGTTTCCCGTTTCACGTAACAAATTCATTAAACAATGTATTGTGATATTACATTATGAAGTTACATCTTACGGTAACATGATCAGACACAATATAATATACATCTTTACCTATATTTTAAAGAAAATGGAGTCCCTAGGTCTAAAACCGAACGCTCTGCATTAGAATACGGAATATTTAGCATATAGATATATATATAGATACTTCTTATCTATTTAATCACTAGTCATATTATTATTTTATTATTAGGCTTACAAAGCTGATAGTCCACGAGATCAAAAGTATGGGATCTATATTTTTGAGAAGATCATTAGTCTAGCACCCACAGTATGTCTGCTTACATTGAGATTAGCTGGCGCTCTAGTAGTCATCACAGTTACGTATTTATCTATACGAATTTAATAGTTATCTTTATTTAATTCATACGAATGATAAACCATTTATACTATTTCAATAATGACTTCGTATTTATTTATAAAAGTACATTCACACTTCTCAGAGTTCGATGACTACAAATATTATGACTAAATATTTAGCTATCCACAAATAAATCCTAAGAGCGATATCATATATTCACCTTGACAGTATCAGCACTATCACTTCCAAGAGCATATACGCGTGTACCGTAATAAAAACTGCAATGTCTAAGCAATAGCTTGCACTTAATACGAGTACAGTCCTAACTCGACATACATCATAGTCCTTAGAATTATAGGCGTAAAGTTCATTATTCAGTACGTGTCATGAATACTCATGATTTAATGTTGTGTGGTCCATTGACTTAACTATACACACAGGCTTGGCTAGGTAAGTCGGTTTTGTTGAAGTAACGGAACACCACTTAGGTAATATGTTCTGCATTTATATAAGGCGCTATACATTGTCATGATAGGCATTCGAGACACAGAAATCATAAAATATTATTAACAACCCGTTACAGTCCTTATGGAATTTAAATAATCTTTTCATCAAGGTAGAAAATAGACTTGTTTACTTAAATTTGAAAAAGCCTTAACCTGCCCAAATTAAAACAACAATATGCAAGTAATCTATATGCAGCGATATTTTTATAACTTTTGGTACATGAAAAGAGAAGTAAAGAAATCCAACTTGAAACTTCTACAATCAAATGTTCCGTATCATCAATATTTTACAACGCGTGAATAAGAAATAAATGTAATAAGATAAGTAGGTACTTATTTATTAAAATAATTTTATTTACACACTAAGTTGCTATTGTTTACAATCTGATCGCCGCAGAAAACAATATGTCATAGTAATAGCAATAAATTTTGGTCAGTTTATTCGATGAATAATAATATGTTAATTAAATTAAATTGCTAACCAAATTAATTTCAAGTGAAGTGATGTCTTGTAACTCTTTTCATAATTTTGATGCAGTTGATTATGAATATCATTAAATAAATTAATTTATACTTCTTATAATTTATATCCATTTTAAAATACTCGAACGTAATAATATTCTTCAAGATTTTTATGCTATTTTCACAAAATTATATTTATATTCTTATCAAATATTAAGGATTTTCAATAATGTTATATTTTTAGAATGTAGGTAACACAACACAACAAAATAACTAACGGCTATCAGTAAATATTCTAGAAAGAGTGCAGTGAAATGGAGGTTATTTAAAAATATACCTAATTAAATTATATATAAAATCTATCATTAAAAAATCTATCATCTAGGCTTATAATGATCATCCACATAATATCAATATAATTACTGCCTATTCATTTGTACTCATTCTATGTAATAAAATAATGTAGATAAAAAAATGTGAGTTTGTAGTGTTAATTTTTGACATGATAACTTCTATCTAAATAGAAAAGGTAAATCCATGAACGTATTTCAGTATTCCATTCTATGTATCTTTTAAATAAAACTATATTATTTTTAAACTCTATTTAAGAGTTAATAAGTCTAACTACGTTACTAACATAATTATAGTCAATTACATGTCGCTGAGAAAAACTACTTGACTACTTTCCCTGACATAATTTCATACATCATGAAAGAAAAAGATTATTATGTGAAATAGCACAAGTTCCTTTAATAGAGCTAAGGTGCTTTCTTGGTAATTTGTGACAACGAAATACCTACACATGCGGACGACTTTGCGCCAAGTCTCCCTTTGTATAATCTGCTCAGTATACCACAGTAAGAATTTAATTGTTTATTTTTTTTAATTTGGCATGATTCCAATAGTTGCGTATACACGGGATGGTATAGAATTATTTTTGCCAACCGTAATGACATTGCACAATAATAGTGTCTCGGATTTTGTTTCATTGTACGTCTTCTAATTAACTTTGTAGTAATAGTATTGTACAGGTTTCAATCTGGTGGGCCATACTACAACAGTAGTATGGCCCACCAGATTGAAACTAGCATTTCTACTTAAAGTGAGGTACAAGGGGTAGAAATGACTAGGATTGAAATGAATAACTTGTGAAAAATAAGTTAGATTGTACTCACTATTTAATATCTAGGTGGTTAAAGTAATGTCAATCAAAGTGATACCAGTACATGTATGTAGTCGAAATTGGAAACATTTATCTATTATGTGAACAGTACAAAAAATATTATGAATAGACTTAGTTCAAGCGAGGAGCGTTGAACGCGGCATCGTTCCTGAAATGTGACTTCTAGGTTCTAGGGTGATATCTCAATATCTTCTATGTTAATATACATATGTGCTCGGGTTTTGTTGATATACGTGTAAAATTTCATTATTATAAAATTTCGATCAATTTAATAGAAAGTTATATACTTAAATATTCTATAATAAACAGAAATTTACATAATAAAACGAACTTACCTACAGCAAAAATAAAACGTTATGGAGTTTTATGAATATAATAAAAATGGTTTCAAAAGCCCCAACTTACTAGATTACACTGGTTAAAAACATTTTGTGATTCCGATAACAAGCTATCGTTTTACTTTATCACAAACTAAACAGAATAAGCTATATGATGTTGTCTATATAGTCAGAAATTACTGATAAATCTGAAATCGCTATAGCGTTCATCGTTGCCAAACCCTTTCAGCCATCTTCCCAAATATTAGATTCTAAGAACAAAAAATAATAACATGATTGACAGGTACTTATATCGTATATATATACGATATGAATACAGAAAAAAAAACATTAAATACCCTTAGGAAATATCTATATGTCGTGACAACGTGCCACGACGTGACAAGTGCGTACAAAGTACTTAACCTGCCACAATGTAATACAAGAAAAAAGTGGTTTAAGTATATCTTGTTCGATGTGGCTTTAATTTATAGTATTGGTCGTCCAGTGCTCTAATTTATAAGTTAAACGTTTTTAAGATTCTTCAAAGATTAAATGCTTAAATTAGTATTTGTCAAACGCAAGACAGTATAATTAATATTTTATTTATTAACTTGACGCATTTTCTTTTAATTATAATAATAATAATAGTAGTATTAAAATATATTACTTCTACACTTCTCCATATAGTTTCACTGTGACAAATATAAATACTCATTTGCGCGCGTAATATTCATAAATAGGGGTACAAAGTTTTTGCTCTTATTATCTACGTCGGTATTATACATGTCATAATTATTTCAACCTTATATCATAGCCAAATAGACCCCTTTCTATAAGAGGAATAGTAAATTTGTTCCATTCTTATTGGTAAAGAACTTTTCTAATGGTTCCAAAATAAATCAAACTAAACTGCAATCTTAACATGATGTCGAGGCCGAGATCGTTCATTGCACTCGACCAACTAATACACGGGTAATAAACATATCTACGGTATTTCCATACACATAAGGTATAAAATCTAATGATTGTTGAGGTAAGGATAATTCCTTTCCATAACATTACTTGAATCGTGAGGGTTAAGCATGCACTTACAGTGGAAAAGTTTCATGGAATTCAGGGGCGCTATGCGTCTTAATATAATTAATTATAAATATTTAATTAATAATATAATTTTGAGGCGCGATGTTTTGTTTCAGGATCCTATAGCAACTGCATTTATCCAATCATTTTTATTCCCGCGACTTCGTCCTCGTGGAATTTTTCTAAAATAAAAGTAGCCTATGTTACTCTTTATTACATCACCTACCTGCCAAAAAAACCCGTAAAAATCAGTGCAACCATTTCATAGATTAGCCAGAACTAACAGACAGATGTCTGTCAGACAAAAATTCCAAAAAAGTTATTTTTGTGTAGGTTCCGTATTTATATTCATATGCATGTAGTAAAAAATGGTTATTTCAATATTAAAACAGACACTAGAATTTTATTTATATGTGTATATGTAATATATCACGTAGTATTTGACTTTACTGAACGTGATGAAAACTTAAATCAGACATGTATGAGCCTCGTATTAAAAAGCGTAAGGGTAAGCATACAATAAATAAGTAAAAAATTAATAAAAATAATTCAAACTGGATTATATATATTTTTATTTCACATTATGCTACGTATAAACTGTAAGCAGCCAAATTATCCATACCAATATATGTATATTATATTCATTACATATAAGTACTACATCAATCATTTTCATACATATTAAGAATATTAGCACGCGAAGAAAATTAATTTCACGATTGTACACCACGCATACCAGATTTATGATATGAAAATAATATTGAAATAGTATGGTAAATTGTTATAAATTATTGCATAATTTAAAGTCTGTAAATCAAATTTAGGAAACAGAATGTGACTAGAGGTAAAGTGTAAATAGTCAACTGCGTTTTGTAAGCTGTTTCGGTTGAGGGCTTCGGTTTTTGATAAAGCAGCAAATTACAGGATATGAAGCATCTGTTAGTGCTCCGGAATGGCAACGCATGAGTGTTATCACGAGCGTCACATCGCCGTCGAAAGCGTCATATTCATGGTATTGTTCATTGACAGGTATTTGAATCCAATTAATTCATTTTTAGTTTTGTTATTGGTGTTTCCTTCATTGGTAAGTCAGAAAAAAATGACATTAGTGTCGACCAGATTTGAACTTACGACTTTTTGGGTGTAAGTCGGAATAATGAACAATTTTTTAAGAATAAAGACTTATTTTCCTTATACTTTAAAGGCTTCGAGACAGCCCTGTCTAAGACTGGTAGCGGTAAATTCCACTGGCGTCGGTGCGCCGCCAAAGTCGAGTAAATTGTGTAATTAATTGACAATCCACCTTAGTGAGGTTTGGACACGTTCATGACGTAGAACACGCGAAAGACTACCATATATGATACAAATCTTTACTTCTACTTGTACTTATTATTATCAACTTTATGTTTACAGATACAAGTAATTATCTGGTTTCTACATATAGATTCCAACGTGACTTTCTTAAGTTAATGCAGGAAAGTTTATGAACGTTTCGTCACGTGTTGGTAGTCGTGCTTCGAAAAATATAGACCAACCTGATTCAATATCAATACTTATTTTATTAGTTTATTTAATCTTTACTATACCAAATAAGTACAAGATACTTACTTAGCAGAATGGTACAAAAGGCGATCTTATCGCTCGAGAAATTTTATTCAGACTACTTTTTGATAGAAGAAAAGACAGAAAGCACCACTAGAATAATAGAATGATAAAATAAATTATTATATCTTATTTTTCTCTACAGACAAATCATGGGAAAGATTCACTAGTAGCTAACTGTCCATTGTTTTTTTAATCTTCAGACCAGCAATTTTACTGACTACTTTTAATTAGAGATTAATTATTAATAATATAATTTAATTAACTATGAGATGATTTTGAGCCTTTTAAGAGAGACAAAAATTTGCACGTTTTTCTTTGTTAACATTACGTACCAAGTTAGCATGTTAGCAGATTAGTCTTTACTTCTCATGAATTACAGTCCATTTTTAAAGTATAAATTATTTTGCGCTGAGTACTGCAAGAATGAATCAGCTTGCAATCGAGGCCTTGGCCTTAACATTATGGTAATTTTCTGTCGGCGGCAATCAGTTATGACGCAGATTATTTTTAATTTTTTCTAACTGTTACACAGACGACAAGGGGCCTGAAATTCTTGAAGTATTTAGGTATTGTATGTTTTTAACGATTTTTTTCTTTTATGATAAATATTTTCGTGTCTTTTAAGACTGTTGTGCTAATAGCACAACAGTCTTGGTATGTCTCAAGAAATTATCTGAACTTGTAGACCCACATACTATACAGTAAACATTAATGCCATCAGAAATGGAAGAGAATTGTTAGTGCCCTTACTATATGGACGAGACAATGAGGACTAACATCTACATGGATCATAGTGTCCATGGGGACCGTATATTAGAGTACAACCCAGCACAGGACATTGCTAGCAATAGATTGTTCCATTACTAACTCTCCTTTCTTTTCAATCCCGTATGATTTCTCTCGCTGTCCATTCTATTTGGTTATTGGGTCAGTTTTGGTAGACAGAAGAATACTATAAGTATGTTCTATTATTATGTCTACAAGAGGCACGGCAGTGACGTGTGCAACTCTGGCGCAGGCGTCAGTTTCGAGGGTGTGGTCACGATATGTTCACCCAGACTGCGGATCATGTCTATTAATAGATGTACCAGTATGTGAGACGGTTGTCTGAGCTTTAAGCGGCTACGGTCTAAGCTTTTCTGTGAATGCCACAATTATTTAGTCTGGTTAGTGGTTTTCTGATCTTAATCAAGGTCAATTATAACAACTGACGAGGACCATACGTCTCACTATACATTTAAGGTTAAGAATAATATTTTTTTTAGGATATCGAACACGCAATCCCCTGAAACATGTCTTTGTTAGTTCCTGATGAATTCCCTATAATAAAGCGACTGTACTCCATATCATTTTTAATAAACAAACTGGTGGCGAAACAATACAAATATGGATCGTATGAATTACAATGATAATGCATGTATGTTACTACGCGCCTACATCTAGATAACAACAATAAGTACAGAGCATGTGCAGGCACTTTGCAATAAAAGTTTTGGAACTAATATCTCACGTAATAATTAATTTTCTAATGAACGTACGCACTGAAGAGTAAACAAAAAGTAAGTAAGGATTAATTCTAAGTATGCACAAAATAAGAGGTCACACCAAAATTTTATGTCGTATTTATAAAGTCTTCTCAGTACTTGTCTCAGTCTAGTACAAATCGTTACTTATTCTATGACACACAATGGATTTTGTAATTTTGATGCAGTTCGAAAATTCCGAGATGTTTACATGTGTAATAAAGGCATAAAATTATACGACCTCCTTTAAGTAGTTTTAGTTATGTGTCGTCAAGGTACATGACATTTTTTTATAAAAAAATAATTAATAAAATAATGCGTTTGCAACCGCCCATTTCAGTTTTTCGCTACGGAACTCTAAAAACGGTCTAAATGTACAATGATCAAAATATGAGAAGATCAAATAATGTTTAGGCAAACATTGAGATCATTGAGTTATTATGTACCAACATTAGTACATTTATAGGTACTAGTCGGTTGTACGCATATATTTTTGTTAATCATTATCACATCTGCACAAACATCTTATTAAATTCAATTGTTATCTACATCCATATTCTAATATATAATATTATAAAGAAAGCAAGCGGATTTGCCATAAGTACAATCCAGAATCACAGCTCTAATTTCAGAAATTCAATCAATATTTAAAGTCATATTAGTCCCATGTAGTATCGATAGATTATATCTTAGGTAAGTATGTACAAAATTCACACAGTAACGAGAACCCGAGCGCAGCCTCTATTTGTGAAAATAGACCCGTCTAATAACAATCTATAACAGGTCGGTCTATAACATGTCATCAAGATCAATCTCGCGTTGTAATCATGTTGACAAGAAATCAAATCCGAGGTAATTAGATTTTCAATCGTTTGATACATGTAAAGTATAATTAATCTCATCAAAAAGAAGTTGATGTAACTTTTTCACTGTTAGGAGCTGTGGGCTTCGTTAAGAGCTATTGGTAGAGAGTTCTTTTTATTCTTCATTATATTAATTAGTCAAAGACTTTTGCATATAAATAATATTTTCTAACCTAAATACAAGGTATAACGAAGATGAGTTTAAATTAATCTTAACGAAAAACGTAAATATGTATTGTAACATGTGAATGGCCATAGTCGTCTTTTATTTTTTAGAATACAGACGAAGTTGCGGTTAAGCGGTAGAATAATAGTATCTAGTACACATACATATGCGAAGTCAAAATCCAAAAGACCCAAATTGTTTACGATAAACCAATCAATGTGTCGAAATATTTAAATATTTTTATACTAGGAACTATCAGGAAGTAAATTGATCTCGCATAACCGCGGAATTTGTGAAAAGGTTACGAAATTGGGAACATTGTCCAGTTCCACAAATACTGCGCCTAAATTTCGGCTTCCTATTATTCTTTCCGTTACACCCTATATTTAAAATAGTTCACAAAATATTTTTAACACAAATCACTTTTTGACACTTAATCTAACCGCGTTTAAGTTCAATATTGAATGTACGAGTCTGTTTCATACTTACGTGAAATTCTTCTTGTATCGAGTTTTGGAGCATTCCACCAGAGAAAATGATGCCATCTACTAACACGTTGCACATGAATGAAGCAGCAACCACGGCCCATCCCCAACCACCATCCGGAGGTACCACCTGATCAAAAATAAGCAATAATAAATAATCTTACTAATATATTACTAAGTGAAATTTCAAAAATATTCTAATAGTACACTTTTAACTGGTATTTAAAATTCACGCGGGAAAATTCACCGAATGCAACTAGTATGTAGATAAATATAATAATTCCATAAAATAAACAAAAATTAGTAATGGAATCTCCATGGGTTTACGCTAATTGTAAAAAGAGAGTATTCATCAAATTCATAATAAACTTCAGTTTCTAATTAAAACAAAATTCCTATATACAATTGAATAATGGAAGCATTGATATTGTCTATAAAAATAAAAAAAAGTGTACCTACCTAGTTTTCTGATATATTTTCATATAATTGCTAAAAATTTGAGAATACAGTGCAGTCTTCATTACATTGTAGGTACTATATGAATTGACCTGACAAAACCGGTTATAATATGTACTTAATTTCCATTTCCAATGTTTATAACTCTTAATAATACATAAATGCAATACAAGTTACGAATACCTAACCTTTTTTATATGTGTTAATGTTTATTTGTTTAATATTTTACGGAATTTATAAATTACAGTAATTATTACAAAATAATTCATTCAAGAAATGTTAACTATAAAAATATTGTTAAATAAGGTAGGTATATAATTAAAATTACGTATAGTATTATAACTTGTTTACCATTTATACAAATTTAATTATTGTGGTGGATTCCGTTTAATATTATACCTTATAGATATGACCTTTAATATATTCCGATAATGCATTCAAATCAACTAATTATATATCCGAAATTTATTTCAGTAGTAGTAACACATATAAACACATATATAAACATATTATAAGTAATAATTAATTGACGGCCTCCGTGGTCTAGCGGTCTAGCACACCGCTTTACATCCGATGGTCGCGGGTGCGATTCCTCGTATGGCACAAGCATTTGTATTCATGAGTATGATTGTTTGTATCGGTTTGGGTGTTTTTTTAAATCGATGTATTTGTATCAGTAGTCTAGTACCCATAATACAAGCTTTAGCTAGCTTAACTTAGGTCTAGATGGCGCTGTGTGAATTGTCATGAGTTGATTATTATTATTATAATTAAAAATAAATATAATAATGAATGAGTGCAAATTCCGTTAGCGCATATTATGGTAAATTAATCAAAGGTTAAAAAGGCTTAACTTCTTTCCAATTAAAAAAAGCTTCTCTATTTATAATTGCAAGGCAACAATTGAATGAAACTATTTCGAAAAAGCCCTAGATATAATTATAAATGATCGTTGATTGATTCCAGAAGTCTTGTAGCACGGACAAGGTTATTTTTCTCGTAAAGGTTGGGTCAAAGACGCAAACGGCCTCGCTACCCGATCTAATTATCTCATAGACTGAGCCACTGTCGCTACGTGATATCATTGCTGACCCATTCCGTTAATTGATTTCAGCCAATAATACAATAATATCTAATCATATAGAGAAGTCCCAATGTATTATTTAATTTATTGATTCTGTATTATTGATATTTTATATACTTGTTTCAATAACATTGTTAAGCGCATTAATTGTATGTACTGTACTGTATTAATTGTATATATATCATATCAGGAAATGGAAATGAAATCAACACAAGTAATTATAGTGAATATGTCTATTTTCTTTATACCAATGTCCTAACCTACCGGTTGCACAAAAGGACGATACTTATATAAACCGAATAATTTTGGAGAGTTCCAAAAATGTAGGTATATCCTGAGGGTAAGCCATATATGTAGTTCAATTTACAATAAAACTATTAACCTCGAGAAAATACGAATATTGACTAATAAAACAGGCTTTATCTAATAAAACACTTAATTTAAAAATATATTAATTATATAACAGCTGTTCTGAAAAATAAAAGTAGTCCAAAAAATCATCTTCAAAAAACATTCATAAACATCTTTTTACCATTTAAACTATTTAAAGTTTTACAAGTCCCCAGTCTGTCTAAATTGTCATAATAATGTATGTTCCGAATATAAGAGTCGCCCAAACTATGGTATCGAGTAAAACATCTGCGGTTTTTTGTAAAATCTCTTTCCTCCTTTGCCAAACTCTCAGAAAAGCCATTTCTAAATGCAATATTTAAAGTAACATAATTAATATAGTCATTGTTATCTCAGCAAATGCTAATGAAATGGTGGCGAGAAGACATGCGTTTATTATTTTTTCAGCAATTTTTCGTAACATCCTCTTTCTTTGCAATTTCTTTTGAAATGCTCTCATATTTTGAACATTAGTTAGTACATTAATATATTTCTTACTACGAAATATTTATCTTTCATACGAAATATTTATTCTATATCTTCACTTGTAATTTGTCATTCTAGTCATATAATTTCTTGCATAACTAATCACGGATTTTATTCATCACAGCTGCAAGTTTCCACACATTCTGATTTTGTGTCTATCTTATCTGTTTGTACATCAACAACTTTTCTTTGAGTCCAGTCTACTTTGTCGAAGCTAAAAACAACTGAGCTAAAGTGATATCCAACTATCAAAACTATTAAAGTGTTGAATGCCGAGTATGACATAGCCAGCAAATACAAAAATCGGGGGCATCTCGCTTAGCCCCATTTAATACTGCCGTTAAGTAAATCTATTAGCCATATTAAAATTTTACACAATCTCGTCAACTGACGCTATGTTATATTTTTTTCTTTTTAGTCACATTAATTGTCATGACAAGTAAAGGAAATAGTTTATATATGTGTTTATTATTGTTTATGGTTTTACTTTAGAACAAATATATTCAAGCCATAGTTCTATGATTTAGATTAAGCGAAATGTTATTTCCTTTATGCAGCCTTACATTTACAATATACCTAATTAGCTTCTAGCTCTCGTGGCGTTGCTTTTTGTTATTTAATCTAAATGCACCTTCATTGTAACATACCTACGTAATAGTTCTTTGCTGTACTTTGTTGTTGTGGTCTTGTTGTCATCATTTCCAATAACATAATGATTTATGTAAATATCTTATATTAGTATGTAAATAACAAAATGACTTACATTGTACTACTTGTACTTGTACATTGTAAATAATTCCAGTTTTTAATTGAAATCGTTAAAATAATATACCTCAAAGTATACATATATCCTCGTCTCGAAATGTATATACTTTATAACTAAGTAAATTAAAAGGGAGCCATTTTAATGGGGGCTATATATTACAGGTTGTTTTCTACCATGTATGTAATAAATGTAGCATTATATATATGTATAATGAACGATTAATAAAATAATTAAAACATGATGTTATATATAAAGAATCTATAAAATTGCTAATATAACAAGAACAAAAAAGATTGAAAATTCAGTTGCGTCAGTGAGCCAATTAAATATATACGTGTATATAATTTGCTTAACCTTCTTATTAGAAGCGATATAACGATCATCATACATTAAAGTGTCATTGACAGTATCATGCGTTACCAGTAGTGAACTAAATGACTTTTATCTTCATGATATGCCCTTAATTTGCTGTAACTAAGTAAATCATGACGGCTGTTCGCGTGTCTAGTCTTATTACTAGCAACGACTATGAACTAGGATGTCGTTTGACACAGTTTGATAAATTTGACGTGACTTACTAGTGCTGCTTCGGGTTCAGCGTCATCGCTAGGTGAATCACTTCGGCCTAGACCGCTCTCATCGGACGATGGCGTCTCTAGCGGTCTCTCGTCCGTTGCCACTCGTACAACCATTTTAGAATACCTGTAATAGAAAAACAATGTTTTATCTATACATATATTTTCACAGATATATTACACATTTAATTTATATGTATTTACAAGAAAATGTAGATATCTAAGTATTTGTATCAGTTGTCTAGTACCAATAACACAAGCTCTGCTTAGCTTGGGACTAGATGGCGTTGTGTGACTTATTCAAAGATATTATTAGTTTTATATAATAATCAGATAGTTATCTGTACGTAGAAGATGGGAAGAAATATTATTTGATGGACTTGTTAACGTACTAAGCCCAAAACAATTATTGTTAGTGTTTTATCGTAGTGAGTTTTATATAAATTTCGTGTTTGTTTTATTCCAATCGGTTTACAAACAAAAAATTATACGGGCTTTGATAGTATGTAATATTTCTTACTAGTACATTAAAGGTAGGTACGTAGAGATAGCCTTTGACACTACTATCTCTGCCAATGTAAATAGATACCCTGAAAGTGACGTGACAAAGATAGATAGGAATTAATTATACTTATATTGTATGTTTATACATGAATAGCTTTTCAAGTATTAGATAAGATTTTGTTATTTAATATAATAAATTTTAATCGTAACAATATTTCTATTTGATCGACAGTTTTAAGATTATTTTTCAGATTATAGATAAATACCATGAATTGGGTTAAAAAGTATGTTTGATGTATTTATTTATAAGCTGATGTTATATGTGTTATTTTTATAGTATATGTCAAGCATTACAGTTTGCACCAATTCCCATGTTAATGTCTTACACATTTGTGTATAACATATGTTATTAAAATAAATCAATAATTTGTAACATACATCATTATCTACTTTGATCCTAATTAATTGTGCAATACCGAGTATAATAACTAGTATGAAACGCGACCTTGTTGTAACAATAATATTTCCATATTGCACTAATAACAATGAGTTCGTAACCTCTGATATTACATATCTGTGTATTCGCGATAGTATATCGTGGTTACCACGTTGCTTTCGACGATTTTCTGACATCGGAGCATGTAACAAATTCAGCTGTCCAAACAAAAATATCGTTGGAACAATAACCTCGTTATATGTTTTCAGACTTGCGTCAGAACACACAGTTTGATTTTAACATGTACATTATATTTCGATAGTTATTGAAGAAAAACCAATTCAAAGCAGATATACTCATAGCTATATACAGAAGGGTATCAATAGGGCAAATACAATACTCCCAATTTAAAAACTGTATATGAATGTAAATATTTTTAATTGTAAGTACCTATTCAGAATAATATAACATCGAGGTTCGATTAGAACACATAAAAAAAATATGTATACACAAAAAGTAAGCATAGATAGACAGTTTTAGGAACTTTCGTACCTTATCACATTAACCGTTTACTGATAATATGTAAAAATGTTTACATATTGCTTGTGATCGCACCTTTCCGTAAGAACTCTCGATTCGTACCTAATAAATTTCAGTAAGTGTTCGAATACATATGTGAATTGTGAATGTAGTAAATAAGTAGTTATTTCATAGTGTTGTAAAAACAAGGTTTCAATTTATAAAGATACTAAAATATATATTAATATTATTGGTTTGTTTGGTACATACTATTAGTGTGTAACTTAAATAATGAAAATGTTTAGCTGATTTCATAAAAGTTAAATCAAAATTTTCAACTCGGTTTCCTTTTTCTATGTTACCGTGATACCGTTCGTGTATATGGACGACTTTTACCACAACTTTTCATCATGTGGCCTATGAGGTCGTTGGTCATCGACACTGTGACCCGTTATCGACAGTGTACCAACAGGCATACATTGCCTACTCTACGATAAGATATGGAGGTATGAACACCGAGACCGCAATTCTTCACAAATGTCAACACGTACTACAAATTCAAATATTTCATTAATGGAAATATCAAAAATGGAGTGACAATAAATAGGTACATACCACATCTGTACTACTATTAGAATAGCCCATTTATCCATAGAAGGCTATATGACTTCGCTACGATCAATATGACCGGAGGTGCTATAAAAAAAATGTTGCAAAAACGGGAAAAATGTGACGCAGATTAAATTGCGCAGATCACCTTACAATTTTATGTAAATTATTAAATATTTGTAATTTAATTTTTAAACAGATTTTTATTAATATTAATTGAATTATCATATTGGTGCCATATTAAATTTTTGATAATTGAAATGAAAACCAATTTCAATGTTTGTGGAAAAAAATCTACACAGTTTTTTTAACTATTACCATAGATGGTGTTCGCAATTTGATTGTTTTTTTTCTAACTTACATATTATTGTTATTACGTATGTACATTATGTACCAAGCAGTTTATTATAATATTAATACCCATTTGTGATAATGTTTACAAAAACACAGTGGAATGTATTTTCTATTGCGCAGATTTTAAGTTAATATAAAAACAGTTACAAGTCATAAACAGTACCTTTAATGTATCGTACTGTTTCCTTATTATGTAACATTGTTTTTAAAAACTAATATTATGTCCAACAATATTACGAGGTGTAATCCTAATGTTGATTTCAATCAGATCATTCAATCTAATGTAAGTTAGATTAAATCGAATAAATTGATAACTATATTCATTACATTGTTACGAAATATGAACTAATAAGTTTTTAGTATACAATTCAAAGGTACGAACAGGTATGAGAAACACTCAAATATCGATCGATCGGAAATGCTTTCAATATAAACCAACATTTGTCACGATTTATTAACATGGCGGAAACCAACATTTATCAGTAGTGTATGCTTTGCATTTAAAATTATGCAAGATGATAAGCAATATCTCGACTGATATCAAACTTGTATATGCAGGGGATATAAGTAAGCACACCACAGAGCAAGTACACATTACCACATGGTTTAGGTTATATAACGAATAGTTTCGTATTTGAAACTATTTTTTTTGTACATTTTTTGCCGTTCCAGAAAAGGCAAAAAGGCTCAGTCTATACAGTATTACTATACGTGGAAACTCTTTGCTGCATCATGTTTTAATTCACTGCTCTTATTTTATTCTTTCGCGATGATGTAAAATACATTGCAACTGATAAACCGCAACTGCTATTGTCATTTTTCATAAAAAGTCGTAAACTTATAAATTTTTCACTCGAAGTCACGATTGCAGTTTACTTTATTATTTAATAGCGCAAGCTTAATACGTAGATCAAGATTTATCACGACTGTCTACATAAATTAATTTGTAAATTAATTATTTCCTGATTAAACATTATATGTACTTACACATAAAAAATATTAGAATTTACAGTTAATCCTATATGATTTCAATATTTATAACAAAGAAAGTATTAATTTTTTTATCTAAATCCATTCAAATATTTATTAAGGTTCAATGTGGTACGTACAACAAATGTACTTACACATCTACACCAACTTGTTTAAATTATTACTACTACTTTTATTGTAGTCACAAACCATTACCTACTTACTTAAATAAAAATAATCAGTTAATAAGGGATACCTATGTGGAAAACGTTACACACCTACATTGTAATATAATATTAGCAAGTTCTCTTCAAAATTCTATATATCATCATTCTATATATCAATAATTTGGCTAGTTGCTTGTTTGTTGTATGTATATGTTATTGTATCTATACTAATACTATAAAGTCATTTTATACAGAGTTTATTTGTTTGATTGTCAGAATCCACTAATCTGAGGCACTATTGGTTCGAAATGAAAAAAAATTACGTGTTGGATTTATGTATTTATTTATTTATTTATTTATTACATATAGTATGATCAATGGAAGTGAAGTATCAGAGAGCTTTTACGCTGGTCTACTAGTATTGAACAAATTCATTAATATTATTTGTCGCTTAATTGACATTAGTCATTATCATAACAAAATTCCACAAAATATCCACCTAGTGCCCACACCTGTACGTACACCTTTAATACGACGCATTGTTTTATAGTCATCACATTTTTAGCGTAGTCTCTAACATTTTTAAAAACAAAATCAATGTCACAAGTATAATTATTACATTGTATTTATTACAAATAAAAACATGTTTTTATAAACACAATATTTTTTTTCAACAGAGCTCTGAATGGTCTCATTAAAATATGATTAAAGAACAGAAAATCCGCATGCGTGACGTGAATCGTAATATATTCAGTCAGCACAAAATATTTACGCATTTATTATTAGAAATAGAAATCATCTTTTCAACATCACTTTTGTTAAATAGTCACATTTTTTTATTCTACTACTGATTAGGAACGCAGACTCATCACAACAAGAAACTTGCGTGGTTTAAAAATTATATAGAACAAAAGTAATATAGTATAGTTAAAACGGAAACTCAAAAAAATATCGATAACATGACATAATTTCATCATTTCAGAAGGCTATTTTGGGTTGGTGCTGAAGCATCTACAGGTAAATAAGAAAAGGCCATTGAATCACATGTTCTAGTACAGAGGTTAACCACATTGTATACATACTAGCTCCGACATGAAGGTAAATGGTAATAGTCGCCTATATGAGATCAATAGTGCTACGGATATCGCGTTGTCATGTGACATAGTCCCATAATACGTTGCTATTCCGGAGCACTAAGATGTCATGTCTCCGTATTGTACTATCACTTCTAGCTCTTCAAATGGAAACATAGCTTACAAAACAAGCTGCTTCCTGGGTACTCGAATGTATGGATAAAAATAAAAATTTTGGTAAGAAGGCATTTGTATGCATAAATCTTTAGGTAATCGATAAAGCTCACGGAAATCATGAATGACAGGATAATGCAATATTATATTGTTGTCTACTCTCGAATCTAATGGTCTATCTATAGGTACAGTCCATAATCGAAATATTATCAAGAATATTAAGTAGTTTTAATTTTTCTAATATTGATCTCGTAAGATAACAATAGTTATAAGAATAATGTTATATTAGTACCCACCTTTCAATAGTGTAAATCTGCGTTAGTCGGTTAAAGAATATGGTAACTATAATTTACTTGTTACAACACTTATTTGTAGTAAAGCGGGTTGTTCACTGAATAGTGAAGCAAAGATTACGTATAAGTATACCTCATAATACTATGTTAATTTTCAAGTTCTATGTCATTCGGCACACCAGTAAAGCAGGTTTTGTAGCCAAGGGACACAGATGTTTAAATTTCTAAACATTCTGCCACTTATTTAATATTTTGATTGATATTATTTGTATATAATATATTAAGCTACTGAAAGGGATAAGATGTTGTCATAATTAGTCGTGTCTGGTGTAACAATTTCAAACTATTCAATAAAGTACACTTTATTAAAGTAGAATCTTTTTTTGTGAATTCATAGTAAAATGTTTAAATAATCCGCTATGCCAATCTTCTCTTATATATATTAGATTATTTATACTGACATTTTTCGAAAAAAAAACACAATATATATGGTAAATTATGATATTTGAGAAAAATATGTTTACAAAAAACAGAAGAGCATAATATGGTAGACACAAAATGGATTAAAAGGCTAAGAAAAGCCTTTTACACAGTCAATATATATATAATAGCACAAGTAGGTATTGCTACAGCACCATAGGATAGGTGTTATATCTTTCTTACCAAGTTTCAAGTAAAAAGACAACTTTCGTATGCTGTTTAAGTAGTCGTATCATATTTTGTATATTGATAACATGTTGCCACATTATTGACAGTGGAATAGTACCATTATATGCGGATGTGCGTCAATAACAACTTAATTTACATTGTGAATCTGTTAATATAAAATATAAAACTACAATGTCATTATCAGCTTATTAAATTCCCTTTCCAGATTGAGCGTCCTCTTCATAAGACAAAGATAATTGCAGCTATTGGAACGTTGTTGAGAGTATAATGCCGACCGTCATTAAAAATATGGTTTATACATTTTTATAGGATACATCAGTTTATAGCTCGAATTTTCTAGAGTCATTTAAATATACTAACTTAATATATTTTATTATTTTTCTGTTGCGTTTTTACGCATATAAAAAATGGTGATAAATAGGCCCTGCTCTAGAGTCTAATCCTAATATCTATAACAATCAATGTGCTGTTCTACTAAAAATTTATCAAGCTTAAACCGAATAAATCAATAAAATTGTCAGTTAGTTCTTTTATCCACAACGAAATATGGATATAATAGCTTGCTACTTTAAGATTTATAATTCAACAGCATAAAAAGGGAAAAAACGGCGTAATCCAATGTCATTGGATTAAAATTAGTTTTGAGTAGTATTGAGTAGCGCATACCATAGAGGTAATTAATAGGATTGTAATGATAGGGTTATAGAATATTTTAAGTTTTCTTTCTTTTGCACTAACTTACTGTGCGTTGTTGCCGTAGGTTCGTACTCAGCCATGACACTGATCTTTATATATTTTATCTATGTAAAAATGCTAATATACAGAATATTGAAATTATTGTGGAGATTAATTGATCGTAAATTTTGGTACAGAAGATTGAAGTAAATAATATAATATATTACATCATGTAGATTGTTTAATGTAGATTATATTTAAACATTCAATCTTAACTAACTTATCTGAAATGGTGATGCAATATCAACTGTATTTCAGAATCATTCAGTCAATGTGGCGCTAATTATTATCGGTCTTAAAATACACAAGGTAAGTATTTATTACTGTTATCATATTGCAATACTGGTAATAAATTGAATCATCAACATCAACAGATTTATTATACTATAATCGCTTAACGGTATTTATGAAGAACTTACAGTCAATTATTTGAAATGTGCTGAAAATGCAATGTAAGCAAACTTAATAAAGATTTTGTAATTATAAATAGGTGTTCAGATTTTTTAAATGATAACTGTTAACAACAAACAAAAAACATATTAAATTATTGTGTTATAATTACTAAACGCTGTTGTCGATGCCCTGGTTGACACTCAGTATTTGTTGTGTGAAGAAATATAGAAAATTTGCCACTTTGCTGGTTTGCTTGTGTTATGCGGTCATCACGGAAAATATTGCAACATGTCATTTGACTAAAATTATATAAATTGTAATAATTTAATATTCTTACATGAATGAAATAAACGAATGAATAACTATCACTATATTCGATTAAGAATGTCAATCATTATAGATAGATTCAACTACCTACTTATGTGATTTACCTAATATTGTCCGAATAATTATTATGAATACAGTAGATAATTGGAGTAATTATTTTACTTTTAAAGGATTGTGACATTTCGTTGTTTGGGGTCGACACTGTGCCACTGATTATTGTATCACTTGATGACTTGACACTTGAAATGTATTTATTAAAATGTATACTAACATATAAAGCTAAAGAGTTTGTTGCATTGGTTGAACGTGCTAATCTTAGGAACAACTGGTTCGAGTTAAGAAAATATTGTAATTATAATAACACATTTATTAGAGGAGAAAATAAACTATACAACATCCCTCTACAAGCAATAGGAGCGTCACAAAATGTTGCATAAATGGGCAAAATGTGACAAAGACGAAGTTGCACGAGTCAATTAATTTAATAAAATATAAAATGTAAATAATAAAAATTAGGGAATAGGTACTTATAAAAACTAACTTTAGGTACTTTAGTGCATGTGTACCGGTACAGAAAATGTATAACACTGTACAAGTATAAACCATAGACAACCAGAGAAATAACAAGACTTTTTCAATAGGTATAAAGTGTTGTCGAATAATAGAAACAGTTGTTTAAATAAAATTAAACACGGTTGCTCTTCTGATGGCAGTGGAAAATTTTCAACTTTTAATTGGTTTTCTAGTTTTTGACTTGTTTATACCATTTGAGTGTACCTAAGGTTAATATAAAACTTATTATTATACTCGCTATCAAACTAGTTATGCGTTATAGTCGGATAATTATTAGGTACCTAAATATACTAAAAGTCACGTACCAGTTGTTACCCTCGACTTCATCTGCTTGTAGATTTTACATAAGATATGTTGCTGAAATTTGTCTTGTGGATACATGTGACAAGGTCCATTCTTGTTACATGTATCCTCACGACAAATTTCATTAGATCCTTCAGCCTTAGTCAGGAAAAAGTAACTGATATACCTACTGGCACCCTTTCTCATTATGAATGTCGTGTAAAAGAAGCAATGCATCATATAAAAATACATTACGTACTTGCAACAATAAATATATGTAATGAACAATTTATATATTTTTATTAATTGGCTATTACATTGGCAGTTGTGTATAGTATACTACATAAATTTATTATTATTATTACGGAACATAGCTATACCATAGGTAGGTCTGTAATTAATTTTATTTTTCTTTCCCAGTGACTGGTGTCTCCTGGAAAAGATAGAGAGAAACGCGTGCCTTTGAAATTAAATTCAGGAGGTATCATTCAATTATGTTTTATAATTGTCTGTGATTTGTATATAATTACATTATTCATACATGTAATTAATGTACATATTCAAGTGCTTCAATAAATATGTAACATGCACCTACTTTTATGTAGGTACTGTGTAACTTTTCATGAATATCCCTACAGGAGTTTACATACATCTACTTACTACTTGGACTTACCACCTTTTGCGAACATAGTACAATATAAGTACGATATGATAATGTAATTGGTTGAAAATACATAATTGGTTATCAGTCGTACATATCATACGTAGATTCTGGTTTAATATTCACACCAATACTTGGAAATGTCAATTAGATACATAGAAAAGATAGTAATAACTAAGATTTTAATATTATCGTAAATTAATACTTCGTCGTTACATAATCCCGGCTTAATATTGTTCTTTATGGAGTACACTTATCTATACATATTATAATATTAATGTATTCACATAGTACGCAAGTATTTTATAAATTATCTATCAATAATTATTATTATATATTACTCTTTTTACGTATTCGTTCCCCAATAAAAATTACTTTAATTATAACAGAAACGGACATTTTGTTTTTATGAAACTTTAAAATATTTGTTACATTTAATAAAGATAATGAATCACATATTAAACAAAAAAACGTCTACGATAATGAATTCCTCCTCCTTGTTGAAGTCAGTGAAAATATAAGTCAACTAGCTAGAATTAGAATTGCCAGAAAATAGACTGACCCGTTTAAGTAATGGGGTCAAAAATAGAGAACGATGATATTAGATTACAGGGAAATCATTTACATATATATAAGCGCTCCGTGAAAAATTTGGAATTACTGATGATTTCTTATTTCTAAATATTAAGATTTATTATACTTATAATAGATACCAAATGTTGACGACAACTGATTTTTGTTTTCGTTGATTTATATGGTCCCTCTATTTTGGGGGTCCATCCATAACATTGTATATTGTCAAAGGCGCCGAAAAAATCTCACACTCTTAAGGGTTCTGATTCTAGGAATATTTTGAATGAATGTAAGGGTACATTTTTTTGGGTGTAATGTTCTCTTGAATGAGATGGCGCTTGTCCATCCGTTTTTGACTTTTTGTTAGAAATCAATGAACCAATATTTGGTTTGGACACAGTGGAAAGTTTTGATAGTTTTCAACCAACTTTCAAAAGGAGAAGGTTCGTATTTGCTTCGCCAATTATGCTAATTAAACTTCTTTATTCTAATAACGTTTAGTTAACGTTCATAATTTAGTCATTACTTTTTTGTGTGATAAAATACGCTAATATCAAGTGAGTTGCCGAGCGTTCAAGAAGGAATAAGCTCTTTTCTTAAAGTTTTCAATATCGTATCTGTTCGAAAATACCATTGCTGGAAGGTAATTCTACAATATGTTTGTACGTGTCAATAAGTTTCTGTGATCATAATTGGCACCGGAAAAAAATAAAAACGCATATATAAGTACTTTAAATATAAATATCTTAATAAAAAAGTGACATTTCGATTGACAGTTCCGCTGACACGTTTCCATAATAAAAAATTGTGACGTCCAGTTTACTTTCACATACACGTGTGAAGCCGGGCGTGTCGTTAGTTTATTTTATATTTGTCTAAACATTTTGTTAAAATATATAATAACAATTAACCTATCACCACGAGTCTCCAATAAATACGAGTATAGATAGTAAAGCTTGTTACATTGCAAATAAGATAAAACAATTTCGTTATCTATTCAACTTTGAGATATTTCAGCTACGATTCTGTACTGTATACAGATAAACTATCTATATTAAATCTTATATAATTTTTTACACTAATCTAAAAAGACTTTTGAGATTATTTATAGATTTATGTATTTATTTATAGAACGGTCAAAATACAATAGGTACACAGCAAGATGATTGTTATATAAACTACTATTTATTTACGTGCTCGTTATGTTACTGTACTTTAAAATAAAATCTATTAATTTAAAGAGTAAATCAAAATCAAAATCGGCCAGATAAATTTTATTGAGCGTGAAAATCTTAGTGAAATAAATTGCATCATGAGAATGATTGTTTATCTCAACAGGTCAGTTTACTATCTCAAGCGATATGACGACACGAGGCTCCTGGTCCCGAGACGAGAATAAACACGTTGTTTTAATATGCCAATGGCTATGTTATACATAGTAATTACAAGGGTAGGTATGTTAATCTATATATTATCAGTACAAGTCTGGGTGGTCGGAAAGTGTGTAATATTAATACACGATGGTTCTATACTAGGAATCTTTTAATCTATCTACTGGAATAGAGTAGGAAATTGAATTATGTATGTCTATATATATATATATATATATTTATATAATGCTCCATTGTTTCAGGATTAAAAATAGAAACAATGCACAAACACAATACAAAACTAAATATTGAAGAAAGAAGACATTGAAGAAGAAAATACATACGTAGTATGCATAGAAAATACCCAAACCAATACAAACGATACAATATTATCGCAATTTTAAGCAGTCTAAAAATAATTATGTCACATATAAATGTTGAATACAGAAATTATTTTCAAATTACAAAACACAACGCATTCTGGAATAAAAATAGAATTTTTTTTATTTCACGCTAATAAAAAAATTATTACGTCACTTGTTTGATCGAATATAAACTAATCTAAATACTTCAATACATATATTGATACTATTTTATTAAATATATAATAGTATTGATGTATACACGAAAACTAAATCTCAAACCATTAAATTGTCACCAACACAACAAAGCACAAAAAATACAGATAGATATACACTAAATAAATAATAGATCGAGATTTATGTGTTTAGCACCTTCACTTGACACTAAACTCGTTTCTTTTCATTTCAAGGTTCGTACGCAATAAGTAGTTTATAAAATATTCATTAAATCACTTAGTAGTTTTTTTTTAATAAAAAAATACATAGCATAAAGCCGCCGGGCCAAATGCGGATTGAACTGCGAAGTTCGGATTAAAGTCATTAAGCCCGTCAACAGTTCCTTTTTATTAACTTAATTTCTTTCATTAATTTCATTCAGGAAATCGGTGGCAAAACGTTAAAAATGTAAAGAAGATTAGTAAAAATTTTAATATAAAAAAAAAGAGAAATGGGTTGATGTATTTGTATGAAAGGTTAATTTATAATAAATTATAAAATCATGTATTGATGGTGTAGAATAAGAATCCTAACAAATCAATTAAGAATAATAAAGTATCAACATAAAAAAATCATAGCATTCGCAATATGGGTTGTCTGCAATGTAACTCTACATCTGTGTTTATTTTCTTTGTTGCAAATAAATAAAATAACGAATTATTTCATTTTTAAAAACTGTTATTATACCTAAACAATACCTTTACATTTGAATGATATACACTATAAGTTTTTTCTATATGGTGTGAAATAAATAAATTATTTAAACTTTCATAAACCAATCCGACTAATTACTAGTGGAACAAATTCGACCCGTCAAAACTGGAAACACGTGTTTCGACAGCGGAAATATGAACGAGTTAGTGATGTTAATCTGTAGTCAGACTGTGAAGCTAGATTTATAAAAACATCTTACTATTAATCTAAAAAGTCAATTGTTATTATTTTTATGGTTAACTTACCCTCTTATAAAAAGAAGGGATAGATACAATAACGTAGTACAAAAGTCATTAGGCTTGTTCTATATTATAACACACATGTATTATACATATAAACCTTCCTCTTGAATCGCTCTATCTATTACTGAAAACTGCATTAAAATCGACTGCGTAAATTAAAAGACATAGGCATAAACAGCGGGGGCGATATTATTTTATTCTATATTTATTTGAAAATTGGGCTAACAAACTTGTCACATATTGGACAGCAAGCAAAAAATATCACTAAATATATAATATATATACAATTTATAATTTAAATAAAATAAAAACAATACGTAAAGAAATATGTACAACTATGAAAAATTTGAGAATATCTGTATATTAAGAATATAATATGGTATTAAAAAAGTCTCTCTTTGATATTTTATTGTAAATGATATTTTCGATAGGCCTGTACACAGAATCTTGCACGATTGCAATTACATTACATATGCATTAGTAACTAATCCAAGTAATTAATAATTCGAATGAAATCGTATGAAAATATTATTAATGCACTTATCACATCAGACGTCGCTCGGTGACTTTCCACTGGCGTCTATAATTATTTTAATGTTTATTTATATCTTCATAAGACGTGGACTGGGTCGTTTACCATGCACATGAAACGCTATGGAAAGTGCAACGCGCTATCGATTACATATAGAATTATTAGTTTTGTTTTAATGAATATAATAATAGTACAACTGGTATTGTAATTACCCTGTAATTTTAAGGTACATACATTTATTTATAGATTCTAAGCTGGTTCTATTAATAGTTTAAGGAATAAACTTAGACTAGAATAACTTTTTAGAATTAAATTTATTATATACGTAAATATATGGCAATATTTCTACTAGATATTGATAAAATGATCATTACTATATCAAGATTATTTATTAAAATTAGATAAGCTTACCACACTTCAGTTTTCAGTTATCAATGCCATAATATATAATATTAAGTTCGAAGTATATATTTATCATAGTACATATATAATATAGTCATATTACGAAAATTCTAAGGGTGTCCATTATGGATTGATTATGAATTGTGCGAGTGAAAATTTTTTAATTAATCTATCACATCATTAAATATCGGAATGATTACTTAAAAAGTTAAAAGTGTTCATCAAAACAAAAATGTTCTTAATTTTACATAATTATTTGTGTGTATTTTAGTATATTTTACAAGATTATACGATGTCATCGCCAAACAAATCAACAGGTTTTTTTTAATCGATATGATAATTGCCATTTTTGTAAAATTATATCTACAATTATTTATTATTATAAACAATATGATTACAAACTAAATGAGGTAGAATGTTGCCTCATGCATACATATTAAAGTGTATATTACGGTAAGGATTAGACTTTATTGTTAAATTTGTAACTAGTAATAAATGTGTATCTTGCAAATTGTCTCGTACCGACATCAGTTTTAAATTCTCATGTGTCTTCAATGTGAATGAACCCATTAGCGAACTCCGAACATGCATAACTTACAATTCCCATTGCTGCAATTAAATTTATTAAATTGTTTTTATATATGACAAATTCAGAAAATTTCGAGGCCAGATATCAGGAAATGTAGGCGTATTATCGATATACATATTAAGTATTAATTCCAACACGTTCTACACATAATGTTGATTATAGTTATATTAGTCACGTGCCGTATTTTTGTTAACTTTCACAAATATTTATTATTGTAATAATATGTATTGTAACTTGAGAATGTAGTTTAAAACATAGGTTTCATAGGTGCGAACATCGCATGCACCAAAAATAGGTTGCGTCTGCGCATTGGCGCGTTCACATGTATAAAAATAAAATAGGGAATAGCCTAGCATGCCTGAAGATGTCACTCACCCGTTATGCACTCAGTCTAGTCGTATTATTCACAATTCTGCACCAACAACCCAAAACACGAAACAGACCTTGACCAATTCGAAATTCCAACGGATGGGCATAAACCGAACGCAACCGTAACACTTTTTTTTATTAAAAAAAACAACAAACAAACGAATTAATATTTAAATATGTCTGAACGTTCGTGATTTAATTCTCGATTTAACAGAGCAATAATCGATGTCATTTATTCCCGCATTATGTTGAGGCGTGCCTTCGCCACCGGTTGCGGGTGTACTGAATAGCGCCGCCGGTTGCGGCCATGTTTAAAGCACGCTACAGTTAGTACGATAAAAAATAATATATTGTTAAACAATTACTTACATCAGCCCATGACAGTGACAGTGCTAATATTACAGTAGTTGTAAATACTGTAGATATCTGTGTAATGGATTAAACTTATAAATAACACGAAAGTATTTTACCGCTTTACAAAATATCGATTAAATATATCAACAAATCCATACGATACGATATTGCAACCTTCAGAATATGAGCATACTTCTTTTTCGAAGAACTATGACATACCTGCAATTTATCTATTGTTGCAAGTGCTCATGGATAATTACTTGTCATCCGGCGTGCCGCATGCGCGTTTCCGGAGCTACAAATCTACAAAAATGATACTCTGATCAAACTGCATGATATGGTGATCCATATCTATATATTAGTTGATACTAAGGGTGCATAATAACTACTAAAGTATATTATAATAAAATAGAATAGAAAATATGATTTTAAAATACATTGTTATTTAATTACAACTATATAATATGTAATGAAGTACATATTATGTACTTTCAAAAATATGGCGTAAGATTGTTCAGATTCCTTCTATGTAATTCTTCATACTCATTGATTGTTCTATAAGTTAACACAGGTGCCGGTACAGGTATCTTTATAGCATATTAACTTAAACTGAAATATTCAAACTGTAATACTTACATATTAAGGAAATAACAAGTGAATTCTGCTGTATAATAAATTATATTAACGTAGATTCAAATGTTAAGTTTATTGCTATTGGTAATTAACTAATGTAATCAACTTAAAAAATTGTTTTCTAACTAGGTAATTTTACTTCCCTTTTATAATTAAACATCGTCTAAAACCTAATATATTATTAAATAAGATCCATTTTATAACTATCCATTAATTTCAGTGGTTTAGCACTAAATACTTTCCTAAATTCGCGGGATCGATTCCTCGCACGGCTCAAACATTTGTAGTCATGAGTATAATTGTTTGTATCGGTCTGGGTGTTTTCTATGTATATTATACAAATACATAGATACATTTTTTTGTAAATATATCTATGTATCAGTTATCTAGTATCCATAACATAAGCATATGTCTTTTGTTTCATAGTCTTCCGATTAAAGGCGCTGTGTGAAATATCCTGAGTTATTATTATCAGAAATATTAAACTATAATAAGAACAAAAATAATAATTTATGACGGGAGTATTGTATTCGCAATACATATACAACAATATAGTTTTAAACGTTTATTACCTCGATCGTATTTACAAGGAAAAAGTAGGATTCTGCATCAGTTACTACAGACATCAAGCCCCGAAACTGTGTCAACTCGCTTGATTAATCAGTTATAAATATTTAATTATTCGTTTATTTGAAGGAAAACACTTTTTTGTTAATTGTTATACTTTATTTTTAATTTTTAATCAAGAACGATGTACAGAATTAAATTATAAAGTGTAAGACTGCGTGCCAGTTCTTGTTTGTGATACTTTAATGACAATTTCCATTACTTGGTCAAAAAGTTTTCAATCGTAGAGAATTTCATATTCCTGCTCCCAAGTTGGGACCTAATTAGTATTTATTTACGGTATAGGTACGTAAGTTCTACTATTTGCAAATCTAAAAGAGTAGGCTGATTTCCAAGAACATAATTGTATAGATTCATCTTCTTTTTGTAAAGGATTTCTTGAACTATAGCGAGGGCTATGGGGAGTGTCTGGTTGGTTGCAGCGCCATATGTAAAATTCGTTCCAGTCTAACAATATTAGTAGCTAATTTTTATGAATTATGCAAACATATCTTACAGTAGCTACTAACCGCGACTTTGCCTGCTTCTTACGAGATAAAAGAGAGCCTATATCCTCGTTATATAATCTAGTTATTTTTATTAGATTTTGTTCATACGTTGATACACGAAGGTAACAAACAGACAAACGCACTTTAACATTTATATTATTAGTATATAGAAAATGTATTCACGAATAGGGTAGTAGTATTTATTTATTGAAATGTGGTGTCATTTTTATTTGTTGTTCATGTCGTCGGTACTGTATCTAAGTCTGTTCCGTTTCATCGCCACTCAATTTGGAACTGCTCTGGTTATTATTTAGTTAGAAATTGAAATTGATACGCTAGTGTGATTGAAATTTTATATTAATTTGACACTTCTCCAAGTTACATATTATTCATAGAAACTTATATGGAGTACTTAAATGAGAGCAACACGCAGTGAAATTTGAATAAAGCATCTTAATTAGGCTGTGACCACTAAGATACCTAGTGAATTGGAGAATGATGCAATTACTGACCATAGTAAAATCAGCTGCCGATGATTCTTAGAAATAGATTAATAACATCTAATTATTGTTCATTTTAGGATTATTAAATTGATTATTTTCTAAGATTTAATGTCGACGTAACATTGCGATAACTATAATAAACTATGATAGAAGTAAGGTTACGCTAAGGTTAATCAGTAAACACTTTTTTTATAACCTGGTTAACTGATGTATCTAGTACTTTGGAATCATGAAACTCTGCTTATACTAGTATTATTTTTTTAAACTGAAGAAAACATTTTAGAAAGCATGTATGGGTATCTCTATCTGGCCTCTATTACCTACATTTGCCCAGCAACTTACTTTTTAATATGTATTTCAAATAAAAGGTGAATAAGGGATTCAAGACATTGAAATTATGTTACTCTGGATGTACCTACTTAGTACTTAATGTATATAGACGTCTGTTACCACTTACAGAACTTATACATTTAAATACATAAATAAATCAATTACCTACAAACAATTTTCAGAAATATATGTTTTCTAATTTATATAAAACAAAAATTCTTACGTTAAGCAAGGGAAGATATCCCACAGGACATGGATGCAGTTCGAGCAGCTGATACTGCATTGAACAGTGAACAGTCAGATATGTGTAAGTTGTATTGTTCTAAAATTTTAAAAGTTAAATATAAAAAAAATATAATATAATGTAATGATGAATTTTTATCTCATCAATTTTTTTCTATAGAAGCTTATCATACATTAATTCATCACTATAATTCACCATGTGTCTCAATAGCATGTCTCCCATATGGTACTGTATTTGAAGTACATTAATAACTGAAGTATGGTTGGAATATGACATACGCAAAACAGGAGTCGAGATAGTGCCCGAAATGTTATATATTCATTTACAGTGTACACATAACTTTATTCTTTCTGGTCTAACTTTATGCACATATACATTACTAATATTATAAATGCGAATTGTGAGTATGGATGTATAGTTAGATGGATGGAAGTTTGTTACTCTTACTCGCAAAAACTACTCAATGTATTTTAAAGGAACTTTACAATAATATAGCTTACTATACATCAGAATAATACATAGGTCATAATCTTATATATAAAATTCTCGTGTCACAGTTTTCGTTCCCATACTCCTCCGAAACGGCTTGACCGATTCTCATGAAATTTTGTGAGCGTATTGAGTAGGTCTGAGAATCGGCCAACATCTATTTTTCATCTCCCTAAATGTTAGGGGAAGTCCACCCCTAATTTTTTTTTATTTTAAGGCAAAACAGCATTTGCCGGGGACAGCTAGTATAAATATATAAATTTCATGCCGGTGAAACCACAGACATAGCCAGTACAGAATATATACAAAATAAATAATTACATTTATTCTTTTACTTCTTTTTATCTAAATTGTGCGTCATAGTGCGACGCATAATTTAGATATACCACGAAAATCTCTGTATCTATCTGTGTAATCACATTCTCCTTTTTTTTTTCAATATTACTGCGGTTCTTTAATTTTATTTGCATCCAATTTTTTTATCGATGTTAATAAGTTTGTTTTCGTAGAATAAACCGTATTATATATACATCTACGAGTGTCATTCTTATCAAGTAAAGCATAGAACCATGTTCAATATAAAATTACTAATTGTTAATTATAATTGCGAAGACTATGAACAGAAAGTATAATTTATAGTCGTAGTATGTGAAGTAATTTATATTTATAAAGACAAGGCTAATATTAATTGTAAACAACATCACACCACGAATTTCGACTGCAAGCATTTCAATGTATAAAACATTACATGAGTAATTCCCTTAATGTTATTTTATTACCCTCAGTGTCCTCATCACGCATGCGTAAAGGACCCATAACTCGTGACCGCGCACCATCGGTATTCCACTCTCGGAACTTCGGAGTTCGACTGGATTTTGTTGAGTTTAGGATGTGTTTACATCAGTTGATGCAAAATAATAAAAAAAAACATTAAAGAATTTAAATAGTTTATTTAAACCAATACAAGTACATGAATTTATAAATAAAGCGTTGCAGTTATTTGCGCCCATCTCCAAAGCAATGCATATAATTTAAATATTAAACTTAAAAAACTCAATTTTGAGATAGACAATGACACTCATAATTTATGAGCATTAGAGCATGATTGCGCGTGTGTGTGCGCGTGTGTGTGTGTGTGCGCGTGTGTGTGCGCATGTGTGTGAGCGTGTGTGTTTGCGTGTTAGGATTATTGAAATGTAATTCTAAAATGCAGTCAAGTTATCTTTTTATGTATTTTTTTGTAATGGATAATGACGAAATGATGTATCCACCTGCGCTAATAGTATACTCGAGAACATCAGGGGAAGATGACAGGCGGAGCATGAAGTCAGATTAGTGATGACAGACTATATCATCACAAATTCACCAGGAATTAAACACGATGGTTTTTAGGGAAGTTACCAATTAGTAACAATCTCTTCTCCCCAGCCTAATCTTATTAGGAATACTAAAAAAGTTTAATGTTATTTTGTGAGTGAACTGTTTATTAGGTATCCCTGCAATGAGTCCTACGTTATTCAATTGGTCTATAAAACGGTGAATGGTATTGAATACCAAAAGCAACACTGTATTAGATTCTCTTTAATGTCCATAGTCAGTG